AATAGAAGACCAGCATCTTGTAATGCTTCCAAATAATCTCTTAGTCTCCTTTTCAAACCCCACAGCAATAATCACTCTACACCACCTCTTATCAAATGAATTGTTTAAAATGTTTGACTGTTACACAGTTGTAATGTTCCAAAAGCTTATTAACAATTATTGTCATATCTTGTCCTCATCTTAACCAAGGCCTCTCAATCATGAAAGTGGCACCTTTCCTGCCCCCCTTTAAAAAGTTAGGGCTCAAAGGGGCTACAGTGTAGATGGTGGGAAGAAAAACAGTTTTTAAAGCTCTTTTGAAGACACAGAGGGAGGAAACATATAAGATGCCTTGCAGTTGCTATTGAAATGGCTCTCTTTCTTTTATGGCTACTATTGATAAGCTTTCATGCTAGACTTCAGAACTGGTAATTTTCATAGCAATCTCTCTAGATCAATCTCCTAATAAAAAGCACACAAACTCAATTTCAGACCAACCCATGCATCTTGTAAGGAAGAGATAATTTCACCCAGAGTGCCAAATATAGTATAAAGAGAAGCATAATAAGACATTCAGAATTTTATCATTGGTCTCATTTGAACATTTTGATAGTTACAAATTTGTTGTCTAAGATCAGAGAGTAGAACTTCAGTTTAGAGGGTACCTATCCTATATATTGAATATGAAATCAATATAATGATAATTGAGGGCTACAATATTTATACGCCAAGTAATGTAGGGTAATGATTGATCAAAGTTTGAGCAGCCAGGTTTAATCGGTAGCCCAGAAAGTTGCCAGCATCAAGCTCTTTGGGTCTTTTATATCTTTATGCCTCTTTCACTGAATTATTCTAGTAAACTTGATAAATTAGAACTAATTGACCAAATTTTAAAACTGAAAATGCTTCTGTAGCATACTGCATACCATATCTGACTATTATATTGCTTGTACAATTAGAGATCTGGAAGAAGGATGTTCTTGGTTAGGACTACCATTATCTAGCCTGCAATTATAGGGATAACTAGTACTGTAGATGGCAGAGAAAGCTAGTGTTCTTAATATTTTTGGTGGATTTTTTTCCAGCCCAGATATGGTGTGCCTACCCTTGGTAACAATGTGCTTTAGAAACATTAATCAGTCTTCATTTTAAAATACAGTTAAACAAGGAATATACTGTAAAAAAAGCAATTCAAAGTAATAAATAGGTTGCATAGTCTACTCCTCACTTACTTTGTTTTCTGATAGATTCCATTTTCTGATGCCTTGTTTTTGCAAAAATACTTTTACATGAGAATATACATGAACTATAGCATGTTGTAACAATATTTAACAATGAAAACATTCATTTATTAAGATTATTAAGACTATCTAAGGAACTATGTTTAATTCTGGCAGAACAGGCAAATCTGAGAACAAAAAAATTCCGACATATTTATTTTGTAGAAAAATACTTTTATTGTGCAGAATCCAGACCATAGATGAATATGCAGGTAGATATGCAGTTATACAAATACAATTGTACAATTGGCCATTGAACTATAATATTTTAGAGACATTATAAAGAGTCATTAGCAACACCTACTTTCCTTTATGCTAATCAATATAGATCAGCTTTCTCCAGTGTGATTCCCTTCAGCTATAAGTTTTCACATTTTTTATTTATATTACGTTTTTTTTAAACTTACCAATGAAAAATATCAACAGTGAAAAATACATATATGTAGACATCATACATTAATAGAAAAATTCCTCAAAAAATTCCTCAAAATTAGAAAAAAACTTTCTAATTATATAGAACTATCCTTTTTCCTGTGCCACAGGCTTGCAAAGCTCTTTATGAGATGACAAATTTCAACTTTTGGAAACATTTCAAAATCACATTAAAATCCTTAACTGTAATATTCTTCCCCAGCTTGCACTGAAATTGTAGTAATATAATGAAATTATTTGAAATCATATTAAGGTTTTAGGTTGTCAACACCAGATTATATAGACTAAAAAAAATCACATTTTTAATAACATCAGCATAAAAAATACATAATGTTCACATCTAGTTCAAGGGTTTTCCCCAATTCGTAGATTGCAGTTGCTCTCTGATTTTTTGGAATTGTCCTTTTTGATAAATCTCTTAATTTCACTATTTCCCATAAAACTGATCCTTTGCTGTTCAGTTATAGGAGCACCTCCTTAACTTTTCTGAGAACAACAATAATAAAACTGATGATTAAGCTGTCTTGGTAAGAAACTATTTTTCATTGGTCTGAATTCCAGATATGAAAGTTTCCATCTTTCTCTCCTGATTTCCTCTTTTTTTTGTGATGCTTACAGGGTTTTTTTAGTTTATAGTATAAAATACAAAAATACAAAAGCAAATAATAGGAAAAAAAGGGAGGGAAAGGGGCAAGGAGAAGTGTAGAAAAGAAAGGAGAAAAGAAAAAAGGCATTGCCTTCTGACTCCCTCTAGTGCGGTAGAATAAAACATTTCTCATTAATGAATTTCATAGCCTTTCAAAGTTTAATTGTTGATAGTATAAATGTTGATCAGATTTGTGTGTGGGATTTCTAGCAAATAACAAAATTTCACCTCTCATAAATTGGTTGGCAGTTTTGTCAGTTGAAGTGTAAAATAACCGAGGGCATTTAGTCGTATAATTTTGCCATAACTTGTTTATTTGAAAAATAGCATAGATTGCTTGTGATCTGCTTTCGGTATGAACTGTTGAAATCAAAGGACTATGAATGTGTTCAGCTAGCTTGTAACAACCTTTGACTAGGCATACACTCCAGCTAAGAGCTGCAGTATGAATTGTTACTAAATATTATTTTAGTTTGTTAAGGTTTATATACTCTGCAGGAAAAAGAATAACTTATTACCAATTACAAAATTCCTTTCAAGCCAAGAGGTAAGCAACAGTTTTCGTACTTTCTTGTGTTCTGTATACTTGCATCTCAACTAGTAACTCTGGCATCCTCAGCTTTTCTTGACAACTATCAGAAATATGTTCATTTTAGATAGCAATACAGTTCTTCTTTTTATGTTTTTGAAGAGTACAACCCCTACAGACTCCAAACCTGAATGCCTGAAGAATGGGATTGCATGACTGAGAGCAGAAATATAATGAGCTCAAAACAAAATAAAATGAGAACCAAATAAAATACAACAGAACTGAAACACTATACCCTGAAACTAACACAAAACTTGAATACCAGAAAACAAAACACATTTTAAAAATACATGAAGATTTACAGGTTTGAAGATTAAGAAAGATGTAGATTAAATGAAGGGCAGAAGGAACTTATATAATATCTGACAGGGAGGAAGGAATATTAAATTGTAATTATCCATGGAAAATAAGATAGGAAGTCATAACATTTCTTCAATTAGATGTTTTTTTCCTTCTTTTTGTTTCTTGTATGTCCTTCCTTCCATTACTTTTTAAATTTTAATTTGATTTTTACTTTTTGAAAAACTTTTAATAAATGTAAACTTCAAAATGTGGATATGCATTTAAATTTGAAATATTTTCAATCATTGGTAGTAGTTTAATTCTGAAAGAAAAGACAAGATACAGAAAATGGCCGATTCCAATTTTAATGGGATGGGGACTCTAAATTGATTAAATCCCTGTTCCTTATTGTACAATTATTGTCAGTGAGCAAAACTGGGAAAAAGACAGAGATTAAGAATGTCTCTTTTGTCTTGGAAGCTGATGATACCAGACAGAGACTGTTCCTTGCCTAAAACCAGCTTTTCTTAAAGTGCTGTTAAAATGACAGATTATATGTTACTTGTAGTGAACTCTTGTCCAATTCAGCCACAGAGAGAATGTCATATTCTACTTTTTTATGCTTGCTACATATAAATCCCTTTCCATACTTTTGTGGAATTTACATTTAAGGACATAGTTTGGAAATGTAATGGTCTGCTGGTGAGTCTAAGACCTGCAAAACAATATCTGTTTAAACTGAGGATACCAAAGGTAGAATCTTGAGCATTGGAACAACACTGTATCTTTGATAGCATTTCATTCCAAAAGCCATTGAAAAATCCTTTATTTGAGGATTTAATATAATTTCTCTAGATAGAAAGGAGTATAATATCACAATATGAGACAACATATTTACCCTTCATTTACCAATAGCAAAATTTAACAAAATAATTATCTGGGATCCTGGCAGTTCTTTAAAAAATTGCATTATAAACTGTGCTCTAATAGAGTTTGACAGATGTGAGTTTTAAATTTGTAGCAAGAGAGCCCTGTGGAAGATTTTCCCTTAATATATTTTGGACTACTTCCAGTTGCACAATTACATTCTAATTCCATTCCAAAAACTCCTTCCAATACAGAAGCTGTGGAATTTTATTTTCCTGGAATATTTTGACTACAGGAGCAATTTAACTCCTGAACTCCAATAAAATAGAAAAACTTTAGAATATACCCAATGAATTAAAACTGGATTAAGGTTTACCTTCCAGGTTAATGATTTCTAGAAAGGGACATCCAAACATTTAAGGAATAGGCAATGCTAGATATTAACTGACAATATATGTTTGGTCCTGCTATGATTAAAACCCACCATTGTGGATTGATTGTAGTTAATCCTCAGCATTTTCCTATCACAATAATCAGCCAGTCGAGCCCACAATTTTCTAAGTCTAATCTCAACATATATCATGATATACACACCATATATTTTCAGTTAAATTGTGTGCTCTGTACTTATTAAGCAAGGAGACAAAATGATTTTCATTCCATGGCTGAAACACTATAATTGATATGCAAATTAAATATGATGGGAGCAAATAAATAGATCTGTTTGACTGATCCATTTATTAAAATAAGGATCCCCAGTTGGCGAACTCATTTCCTTGTAGTAAGGTAAGAAAGCAATTCAATCAATAACCTGATATGTCTAATATTTGTAATGGTTTTCTTAAACTAATCCCATAGTCTACATCTAACAATGGAATCAAAGGCTGATTTCCTCTGGAGTTGAAAAACAGCAGACTCAATTGTCAATAAATAATTCCACTTTAATGGCAAAGTAATAATTTAGACAGATACAGTGTGCACACCTGCAAAAAATATATGCAAGCTGGTTTACAAGCTAGAAGAACAATAAATCAATATAAAATACATCATCCAGTTAAGTCTGATGACACCAAATACTTATTATTAGGGCTTTACAAAGACTACAAAACTTTTCAGATGATTTATCTCACTGTTTCTGTCTATTTACACAATATGTTACATTAAAAATGTACAAAATATAAAATGTATACAGACAAATGCTTCACAAACAAATTTGTTAAAGTTGTAAACTAGGTGGATTCACTGAAATGTATTGCAGGGAAAATTGTATTATGTAGTATATACATACAGGATGTGTGTAAGTGTATTGAAAATGGCAGGAGTTCCTGGGCTTAGATGTTGTTTCAGACTACATCAATCATCAGGGACAGCTTTTGTTTTAGTCATTTTCCAGAGTGGCATGCTGTTAACAATATGAGACAGTCAACTAATATTTACTGCTGGAAATCAGTCTGAGTACATTTTTTTTGTGCATAAAAGCAGACTTTCTTATTAGGGCAATAGCACCATGCAGGAGACCTACAGCTGATGCAACAAGGAAAACTGCATTGATTTTTTTTTGATATTTGTTTTGCAAAATATATTGTTGCAGGAATTAGTAGCACCAGTTACATATCCTGAAGTTATCCATTGGTTATGTGTATCCTGAAAGCACTTCATTGGCACATGTCCTATGGTTATGAGTGAACATGCTCCATATGAGCCCTTTCAAGATAGGGGTTGAAATACATGCCTACAGAATGCTATAGCCCTTAAATATTTTATGTTAATTTTAACCAATATCTCCAATTACTCTGATTAGGTTTTCGTTCAGTCTGGTGTATCTTGCCAGGACAGATAATGTCTATTTTTTTCTATAAAGTTAGATTGGTTTAAAGAGTGCAAATGTTAATTGTAGCAAGGATAGCTCAGGACTTGTGATGGCAGTTCTAAGTACAGGACAAACATACCTGATTTTTCTGTCTTCTTTTAAAACAGATTGTACAGATTGCCCTCTTGCTTTGTTTACAACATACAGGTATTCTCCATAAATGAAACATTTTTTCACATTGATATAATAAAGTATAATTTTATATTTTTGCTGCTGTCACTGTTTTGTTTCCTTTCATTTGTGCAACACTTTTTATTTTCAGTATTTACAATACCCTCCCAATAAACTGTGCAAAATCACCCCCACACCTTCCCCTCTTACTGTAAAAACATTTCTGTCTTGCACAGTGAATAGCACTGTGTCAATGTTTTTGTAATGCTGACTTTCTTCATGTACAACTGCAATGAAAATAGCATGCTCCAAATGGGGGAAGGAAGAGAAGGGACGAAAACCAAGAACGGTTTGTGCTCATGCTAACTCAGGTGCATACCCAGCTCTGCTGGATAAAATGTCACACATCTCTGTTTTTGTCTTAATACGTTCTTTTCCAAATGGGATAGAAAATAACTATGTTGGACTTTTTAGTTTTGTTTTCATTCATAGTTAACTAGGAGTAGCTTCTGGGTCACTTGAATGGTTTAGGATGATAGGTCATTGATTCACAGAAGATTAAAAATAATATATCTATATTAATAATTCATCCTTCTAGCCACCTAATTAAAAAAACTTGATATATAAACACAAGGCTACTGTGCTCGCTGATGCTCTCTCATTAGTAAAATGAAGAAAGGAAACTGTAAATAACCAATGGTTTAAACAAATTAAACCAAGTATAACATTGTCTAGAAATCGGATTTAAGGCAATGAGACAGCACCATAGGAAATGATCTTTTTCCCCCACCCAAAAGACTCAAAACAAAGCCCTAACCAAAACCTTTAGTCAGCTTCAGAATTGTCTAACAACAACAACAACAACCTTAAGAGGTGGGCAGGTGTTTAAAAAATACCACTGTGGTTAAAAACAATTTGGATATAAAAACGGGTGACTTTTTTTCAACACACACACACACACACACACACACACACACAGATGAAAAAAAAAAGTTGGTGAACCACATCACTGCAAATATGGCAGTTTAGTATCAAATTGGCACTTATCCAGCATATCACAGTATTGTTTGTATAAGTTAATTGCACAATACTGTTTTGTGCTTATTGAATCTATACACCCTCTCATTTTTTTAATTTTATTTTGCATCCACCTCGTTTTGGAAAGGAGAGCAGAATATTATTTGAACATCATTGCAATCTGGAATATGTGCTATGAGGCACCACAGAGGTTAGAGGAGGAAGAGGAGGAGCAGGAGAACTATGAATGCAGCACCTCCAAGTATACTGAAGTATCACATAAAACACTTTCACTGTAACCTTTCAAGACAGGGATAGAAAATAAAAGACTCTACGTGATTCGAGTTTGACTATTATGGGTGCACTCTGCTTCATAGTTTCCCTGTTAAAGGCTCTTTCCACTTGACACTGGACAAATCCAACTTTCATTTCTGATTTGCTTACTGCTTAAATCAGGTGTCTCCATATACAACACAGCACGCACATGCCTTTCAGCACACATACACGCCACTTCAGCAGTCTTAATGCAGTATAGGTTTATCAGCATCCTCTAACCAAAGTCATTCCCCCTTTAGAGCGTTGATTCAAGTGAAGGGTCCAGCATATCATCATGGTGGCTGACAGTATCACTGTCACAGCTCTGGGCACTTGAGTAAGTGGCAGCTTCTTTGAGCCTCAATAGCATGTTCATCTGAGAATGAAATACAATAGGGTGTGTTATTGGTACAAAAGTTAAGATGACTTAGAATAATAATAATAATCCATTATTGTTCGTGTTTGCAAAGCAATACTGTAATGAATTTCAACTCTTGTTTTTAATTTAACAGAAATGTGCAACTATTTATGTTTGCAAGTCCTTTGTTAGAGCTATTTTTAGAAAACATTTACTAAAAATGTTTTCCTTTGTAAGGAATTTCTTTTCATTTATGTAGCTTTATATATGAGCTCTCCCAACACTTTAAATATTTGCTTCTGTAACTACATGATTATCCACTGTTATAAGAAATTCCTGCCTTTTAAAGCTCATCATGCACATTTTTGCATACATGTTTCATAAACCTTTTGCTATTTTGCACGGAGGCAAAGAGATGCTACCAGATTCCATCCAGTATTGGCCTTCATGCTATATTAGCCTTTGTGTGTGTTTTAAGAAACATACTATTTCCACATCATAAGCAGACATAATACCAAAGTACCTGCTGAATTATGTTTAAGTCATAAAAAGCACAGAAACAATTAAATGAAGGGGAAAAACAACAGGTAAATCCTTCAAAGTATAAAGGAGACTGGATTATTTAAATCAGGCTTGGATTCACTTTTCTAGTCAATAATACGGAAACAAACACAGGGTTGGTTCTTTTTTTTTTTTTTTTTTTGGGTATGATCCATTTTGCATACATATTGAATGGAATGAAGTGGATGAAAGTCAACAGCTGAATGCAAGAGCACCATCTGCTGTCCAGGAGCTGACCTTCACAAAACAATGCCATACTACTCTGTTACTGTCCTGAGGCTGGATTCCAAAAGAATGTTAAGCACATCTTAATTAACTTCAAAAGCACTGGACATTTCAAAAATGTTTAGATATTGAAATTATCATAATTAAAGCTGTTCAGGGAATGGGCTTTGTTGGCAGCATTTTTAAATAACCTAATTTTACAATGCAAATATTGTAAAATATTTGATCCAAAATATGTCTTAAAAAATGGAAAACCAGAATAATTCATGTTATTATACCATCTCATATTTAACTAAGCAAAAATGTATGGAGAAGAGCGAGAAGCTTGTATACAGTTTTGCTGAATGCATCTTAGTAAGGACATAGAGAAGAAAAATTGAATCAAAATTAAGCAATTTCCTATGAGAAAAGACTATAGCAATTGGAACTCTGTAGCTTAGACTGAAGGGAAGAAGGTATGGGGAGACATGGTAGAGGGATATTAGATCATGAATGGCATAGACAACCTAGTAAAATATTTTCTATGTCTTCCTAACAGTATTAGAAGTTCAGTTTACCAACTGAAAGTAAATGCAGGAAGATTCAGATTTTTTTTTCTAGCACATAGTTAAATGATGGAGTGTGATATTAGCAATAGTATCACAACAGTTTTTAAAAAGATACTGGTGAAGTTTAAGAAAGATCAAATTCGTAGCTGCTACTCTTGCTAGGTCTACAAGCTGTTGAACCATAGATAGAGTTAGATACTACCCTTCATCATGGAAAGGAGCTCATCTTCTAGTCAAGACTACTGGGCATCCCAGATATATCATGTTAGCTGCAAAATGGTTTTATGGCTTGATCCAGGATTGACCTTTTTAGGATCTGATGGAGGAAGGGCTCCAATCTGTAAACCTATCTCTTTATTCTGTAGGTTTTCTGTTTTAGCTTCTGAATATTTTCCTAGAGAAATCTTCTTTATAATCTGTCACTTCACATGCACATATCTCTAATATTTCTCTGCTTTTTGCTTTTTGTCTCTTAACACTCCTAATATGTAAGCCCTCTCTTTCATTCATAGCTATTCACCTTTGTCAGTGAAAGTAATGAAACGTATCCAGGGATACCATTAAGATAAATGAGTGCCCAGACATTTATGATTCCAAGAGAATATTCTCTTTCTTGCTCAAAATGAAGTGTGATTGAAAGTTAAGAGTGAGTCAGAATTTAGGACTATCATATAAATGCTCATATATTCTGAGATGGTAACTTCTTAATCTAATTCATACATTGATTTATTGTACATATTCAGTGAATTAATGCAAAGCTAAGGAGGGTCTTAAATTTAATACTATGGGGATTATACATGTAAACTAGTACCAATTTATCTGAGCAGCCAAAGCAGCAAGTAGAATCAATGTAACCAACCAGATATTCAGTTGTTACATATAATAAGCCACTAGAATAAAAAAGTATCACTGAATAAAGCATATTTAAAAGCAATACGGATTCTTTTATTTTACCAAAGGATCTCCTTCTGCTTCCATTTGTGGAATGTGCTTTGAAGTGGTTCCTTCTTTGGCAGATGGATAACCTTCATAACCAACATCTTCAGGTCTTAACTGAAGTAATGATGACCAATCATGTTGCAGTGTACTCCATGGACAAGTCTCTGCTATCCACTTTGAGGGGTCTTCCCAAGGTGCACGTTTACCATACATCTAAATATATATCCCAAAAGAAAAGTAAAAATGTCTATACTCATTTTATTAAAAGACATTTTGGAATGGAAGTAATGAACTAAGTTATTAGCTAGTATTCACCTGAATGCCCTACCATGCTACAAAATAAGTTATGATTAACGAACAGTTTATTGTTAATTTATAAGAACAATAACTAGTAAAAAATGGATTTATGTAAGTTTTAGTGATACCAAGAAATGATTAAGACACATATGTTTTTGGTGTCTGTTGCTATAACTGTTAGCCATCACACACCCCTCCTCCACTATATATATTCCACTTGACAATATATAACAAGGTTGTACTAAAATTAGTTTACTATCTCACTTATTAGCAACATTCAAGTGAGGCATTTCTATTACCAAACTGCAAAATTCTACAACTGAGAATTCCACTGAATATTAAATATATAGCCAGAATGTTTGCATTTCTTTGGACATTTTTCTGATCCAAGGAGATTATTTATAGGCACAGTGATGTCCATAGTTGCAATGATAGGGTACAAATTTTATGAAGATTTAAAAATTACATTAGGCTTTCCATTCATGGCAAATGATGGTTGTTTATATAAATCAACCCTTAGAAACAATAATGAAATTCACTGCCCAAGGACTCAGATTGCTGTTTTGCTAGAGTCCTACCTGAAGTCCTTCTCTCACAGCTTCCATTATATATGGCACCAAAGAATAATTCCAGAGATCAGTAAACCATACTCTAGAACCATCAACATCAATAGGACAAGGTAGAAAAAGGCGAGGACCTAAAATAAGATTTTTTTAAAAAAACAATATGAGATTACATTCAGTGTTGTAAGTGGATTTGTGCTCCCTTTATTTAAGGGAGACATAATGTACAGAGATGTAATGTAGTCTCTGTACATTACGTCTCCCTCGTATAAAGAAAATTTGGGTATCATACAAGGGATGGGCACATCTAATTCAAGTTGTTTTATTGTCAGATAGACACAACAGATATACTGTTTATATGCTATTCACTGCATATTAGTGATGGCAGCCATTTTTTGATAAAGCACAATAACATTTTTTTTTTGCATTAGCCTTTTCAGCCACATGATTTAGAAAAATACATTTATAACATCTGGCATTTTGTGAATGCTGAGACACTAAAATATGGGTAATGTATTTCTAAAGACCAATTACTTCATTGGTTCCAGATGGCCTTTGTTTAAATGGCAGAAATAATTCTGAAGACATTTCATCTGTAAACAAGGTGACTGTTTCTTAGATACATTAAACCCCAGCTCTCTGCCTTGCTTGTCAATGCTGTAGCAACTGCCAGCTGTTCTGTGGCAACTGCCAAAACACATTGTGCCACTTAGGGATGTTTATAGAAAAAAAATCAATTAAAAGAAATCTTTTTGAAACATACAATTATCTGCAAGATTCTTTGATCTCTTCTTCAGGAAAGGTTTCTTTTTTCTTTTTTTCAAAATATGCAGATGGAGTTTCCACTACTCTTAGGGCACCATTTCTCACATGATTACTTAACACAGATTTATCGGGATGGAAGAGGGTTTCTGAAGCAATAATACCTGATCTTGGATTTCTTGAGAGTTTTGAAAGAGTTTTAGACCTTTCTGCCTTCTCTGCTTTTTATTACTGCTGCTGATCCAATCCAATGCCACATTAGAATGTACATTATTAATGGCATCAAGAAATGTGAAAATCCAGAATTTTTTTAAAAAAACAAAAACTGTGATGAATACATTTTCAAGAACATGCATTTTATTTATTTTATATATTGTTTTCTTCTTAATTTTATCTTCACATTAGTTAGGACTAAGTCTTTTGACAGTGGAATGGGATAAGAAAGGCTGAGACAGTATAAGTTCAGGGCTAACATAGACTAAGATTAATGATATTAAATGGTTTTGGGTTCTTCTTTAAGTACAAATTTCATTCCAGACATCCAATTCATATCCAACAATACCAAGTTTGCAAATACAATTTTCTGTTCATCCAACTCTCTTTTTTTTTTCCCCTTTTGGGCATAAAAGATAATCTATTAATTATTTTGCCAAACACATTCACAGTAAGCTTACAAGGTCAGATAAGCTTAAAAGGTCAGTTTTAACTCTTAATTTGCATTCTTAACTGTAAAAGGTCTTACCAATGGTTATATCAGAAGAACTGTGTGTTTCTAAGAAGCTGTTGAGATGATGCCATGTCTTGGGAATCCAGTCAATAATTTTGATGAGATCATTATTGCGGGTATTCTTCTCCAGCTCTGTTTCAATCAGTTTCCTTCTCAAATATCTGGATAACAGCCCTTTAATGGGCTCTGTGTGATTAGCACACAGCACCCATCTACACACAAAACAATAAAATAATGAAATCCAAATGCAAAGATTGGGGTCATCCAATGAAGTCTTATAGTCAACTTTTTTTTAACTGTATTGTTACCCTACAGCAACTGTTTCCATGAGCTGATGTGATAGCCACCATCATAAATTACTAAAAATAAAAGATTTGATCACTGCATTTAAGATATAGCTTGTAATCTTTTATAAGGCCAAAGAGAACCTTCTGTGTTCACAAACCATTTCTCTTGGTGCCTGAAGTTAGCAATTAATCACTGAAGGTGGATAATGACTGTATGTCCTATTTGTGAACTTGCCTTTGGCATTTGGCTAGCTGTTATCAGTAAATAGATTTTGAGCTAGATTATTGTTCTATTACAGGATTATATTTATATCTCTAGCTAATAATACATTGTTTCTTTTCAACTGTACGTCTTGAGGTCAATGATGAAGAAAATTGCTATTAGAACTTAATATATTTAGTCTTTTGTGCTTTCTGCTATCTTGTTTCAAAAGCCAAATGGTACATCACTTTTCCAATCGTGACAGAAACAACCCTAAACATGGTGATATTATATTTTCATTACATTTGACTCATTAAAAAAATTGAAAAACTTTATATGCTTTTTTAATTTATGTAAACAAATATGCAACAATCATGAACTTACTAAAACTAAAAGTTTAGACTGAAAGTTCTGAGCCTGAGTCATATGATAGATATGAAACAGAAATAATATTTACCTGAAGTTTTGATGCAGTTCTAGATTAGGTGATGATGAAATTCCCTGGTTCATCGTTCCAATAATGTAGGGACTTAAGACAAACCAATATGGATTTAAAAAACAATCCAGGAAAATTGAATAAGCACAAAATATTAACAAAACAACATAAAAACAGTATTAAAATCAACAAGGATGACCACACATACAAAAAGAAAATATTACTCCCTTAATCTCTGAATATATAATATATAAAAAGGAGAGCTTAAGAAGTAATCATAATGCCAAAATAAACTGACACTTAAGGAAACTCATTTTACCATTGTTTTAATATAAAATAATGTATATTTATATTTCAGAAAAGCCCTTTTGAGCGCACTTATGCTATGTCTCAAATGTTTGTTTAAATGTATTCTTGACCTATGCTATAGACACCATTAGAGGAAATGTCAAATATTAAACTGAAGCTCTTTCATATATGTTTTTGTGTGTGTGTGTGTGTGTGTGTGTGTGTGTATGCCCCTTCAAGTCAGAATATGGACTCCTGGCAATTTACCTGGCTTTTTTGGCAAGGTTTTTTATAAGCTCTTAGGGCTGAGACAGGTTGACTGGCCCAAGGTCACCCAGATGGAATTCCACCTTACTTTAGACTAGTTTCTAGCCTAGTGCCTTAACTACTAGACCAGGGGTGTCAAACTGCCGGCCTGCAGGCCAGATGCATCATAGCGAAACCGTGCCCACTACATTGCCGGCAATGGCAAAAAAAAGTCGCAATACGTTGCAACATGTCACATAACATTGCGAGTTTGACACCCCTGTACTAGACCAAACTGGCTCTCAGTTCAACTTTGACACTTACTAATTTTTGTTTATTTCAAAATTAGCATAGCTTTCTATAAGTTCTTGATCTGGGTGATTTTTTTTAAAGTTTATTTCAATGATTCTGTAGGTACAATATAAAATAATTATTGAGAAAGATGAAATGTACAGGGGGTTGCATTGAAGAAGACTAGTATACGGAGTGGCAGAATATGAGAAGAGGTTGTGAATATACCCAGTGAAGCAAATACTCAAAGCAATTTAGTTAGCTCTATAATAACATATTCTTACTTAAGCATGAGGCCATATGTAAATGAGTAGAATTTTATATTTCAGAAAAGCCCTTTTAAGTGCACTTATGCTAGGTCTCAAATGTTTGCTTAAATGTATTCTTGAACTATGCTACAAACTTTTCACTTTCCAGACTAATACAATACATTATGTATTTATTAGTGCAATTATTGGCTAAACAGTTGCATATAATAACATGCAGACTAACAAAAATTGCATACTTTGCATCTGTTCATAGGAACCTAGTTATGAAACTCAGTGCACATATTTATGTATTTTCCTTTTTTCTTAAAAATCACAAAGGGATATGTTTGTTATAAAGATTAAACTAAAACATGCAGGACTGATCTAGATCAACTGTAGACTATTGTATGTAACTCATTTTGAAATTGATATGATAAAAGGTTTATTTCTGTTTTATGTTTTGTGTTTAAGGCAGTTTTGTATAACATCACCAGTTCTGAGGAGTGGAAGGATGGAGGAGCAAAAATATCTTGAATGTATAATAGCAGACTATTCACCTTAATTAAAATATGAAATCAAAACATTTCTCAAACTTCACTGGGTATATTCACAAACTCATCTGATATTCTGCCACTCTCTATACTAGTCTTCTTCAATGCAGCCACTTGTATATGTATTGAATTACAACTTCCTGCATTTATAAACAGATCATAAGAATCTAGAATTCTGAGACCTTCAATTCAATATCTTTGAAGTTTGCCAGATTGGGAGAGACTGCATAGCACTAATGACTAAAGAATCAACCTACCATTTGTTATATTTACAGTTAAGAAAACCGTTGAAGATGTCACTCAAAGAATCAACATGGTGCAGGTTGTCAAGAATTATTACCACAGGAAGGTCAGAACTACTATTATCAGCATTGCACTGTTCAGCCAAATTAACAAGATATTGTTGAACATCCTTCAAGAAAAGGAGAAGAATGTAATAAGACAATGTATTTTCTATTGCCAACTTCATATTTATGAATCATTGATAAAGCTAAGTGTCATGAAATGATTTTGGCAGACTCAAGCAAAGCAGTTTTGCCTAATCACCTTCTTTATCCAAAGCTTATATTTACAATATAATGTTAAATGCATACAATAGAATTGTTCTAATCTGATTCCCCTGCTATTTCATGTGATCAGCAAATCCTGATCATGAAGTTTTCCCAAATGGGGAAAACATACCTTTGCTGCATGTTTCTTTCTTTCTTTCTTTCTTTCTTTCTTTCTTTCTTTCTTTCTTTCTTTCTTTCTTTCTTTCTTTCTTTCTTTCTTTCTTTCTTTCTTTCTCTCTCTCTCTCTTTTTCTATCTCCCTTTCTTTCTTTCTTTCTTTCTTTCTTTCTTTCTTTTTTTCTTTCTCTTTCTTTCTTTCTTTCTTTCTTTCTTTCTTTCTTTCTCTCTCTCTCTCTTTATCTCCCTTCCTTCCTTCCTTCCTTCCTTCCTTCCTTCCTTCCTTCCTTTCTTTCTTTCTTTCTTTCTTTCTTTCTTTCTTTCTTTCTCTCTTTCTCTTTCTCCTTCTCTTTCTTTCTTTCTTTCTTTCTTTCTTTCTTTCTTTCTTTCTTTCTTTCTTTCTTCTTTCCACACTTTTTTGTTTATACAATACTTGAAGCAGCTCACAGCATTTAAAATTTTGTTGTTGTTAATTGCGAAGTCGTTTCTGACCCATTGCGACCCCATGGACAACGTTCCTCCAGGTCTTCCTGTCCTCTACCATCTTCTGGAGTCCATTTAAGTTCACGCCTACTGCTTCAGTGACCCCATCCAGCCACCTCCTTCTCTGCCGTCCCCTTCTATTGCCCTCAATCTTTCCCAGCATTAGGCCCTTCTCCAGTGAGTCCTTCCTTCTCATTAGGTGGCCAAAGTATTTGAGTTTCAACTTCAGGATCTGGCCTTCTAAAGAGCAGTCGGAGTTGATCTCTTCTAGGACTGACCGGTTTGAACGCCTTGCAGTCCAAGGGACTCGCAGGAGTCTTCTCCAGCACCATAGTTCAAAGGCCTCAATTCTTTGGCGCTCAGCCTTTCTTATGGTCCAACTTTCACAGCCATACATTGCAACTGGGAAAACCATGGCCTGGACTATACGCACTTTTGTTGGCAGGGTGATGTCTCTGCTTTTTAGTATGCTGTCTAGATTTGCCATAGCTTTCCTCCCGAGGAGCAAGCGTCTTTTAATTTCTTGGCTGCAGTCCCCATCTGTGGTGATCTTTGAGCCCAGAAAAATAAAATCTGTCACTACTTCCATTTCTTCCCCATCTATTTGCCAGGAATTGAGAGGGCCGGATGGCATTTAAAATAGAAAACCAGTATTATTTAAAATAAAAATTAAAGTCAGAATCATTAAAATAAAAATTCAACTAAAATTAAGAATTTGTGACAAGGTTTTTATCATTTTCCTAAATACCTAAAAACTGGGGAGTCAGTCTTTTGGAAAGAATATTCCTAGCTTTGGGCACATATGGTAAAGGCTGTCTCCTGAATACCAGGTAAGTGAGTTTATGGGTATGAGGGAGCTTTTTCTTCTAATTTGAATAATCAGATAAGCTGCTATGAAGGGAAAGGAGCTCTCAAATAGTCAATATCCTATCTAATCTAATCTAATCTAATCTAATTTTTCCAAGGTCAATCAGCAGCTGTAGGCAACTGGAAGGAAGTTCAGTACAGGCATAATATCGTTCCTGCACAGTACTTGCAATAATTAGCAATTAGCTGCTAATTTTTTCAACAACTGCAATTTCTGGATACTTTTCAAGGACCACCCCACATAGAAATGAAGATAACTTGCTAAATCTATTTGATTTAGGTTTGTGAAGAATAAACAATACCATATTATATAGACATTAAAAACATAGGAAAGAAATGCAGTTCTTGGTTATTATTTAAACTTTTTAGTCTCCTACATGAGTTCAATCTAAAACAAGGCCAAAAAAAAAAAAAAAAAAGAATGAGATTACAATTTGATCCTAAAATACCAAGGGAGAAAAATTAAGTTTTAGGAGAGTGTAATTCTTTTTAAAGTAAATTCTCAACTTCCTGAGTTACCCCCTCACTCACCATAAGTAATTCTGCCTTATATAGATGGAGTTTAGTTTATGCACCCTGATCCAGTCCATTGCAGTCTCACATGGAGCTAACTGCTACATCTGAATCTAATGTAGAAAAGATATAAAACTGGCTCCAATACTTTACCCCAAATCCCTATAAAATTTATCTCAATGGTTTTAAATGACTTTTGGTATGGAAAAGAAAACAGAACCTTGTAAAACTCCATATATAACTGTTAAATAGACTTTACTAAGCTGGCAGGAATAGCCAAATCCTCAGATGATAGATTCAGAATCCAAATGGTTCTTGATAGACTTGAACACTGGGCCCTATCCAACAAAATGAAATTTAATGTAAAGAAAAGTAAGGTTTTACACTTAAGCAAGAAAAACCAAATGTATAAGTACAGGTTAGGTGAAACCTGGCTCAAAAACAGTAACTGTGGGAGGTATCTTGGAGTCATAGTGGACAATTACTTAAATATGAGCCAGCAGTGTGCAATAGCAGCCAAAAAAGCTAATGCAATCCTTGGTTGCATAAACAGAGGGATAGATCATGTGAGGTATTAGTATCACTTTATAAAAGCTTGGTAATATTGGAATAGCATATCCAGTTTTGGTCAAGTCATTAATAAAAAGATATTGAGACTTTGGAGTGCAGAGAAGAACAATTAAGATGATTAAGGGCATGGAGACTAAAACATATGAAGAACAGTTGCAGGAATTGGGTATGGCTAGCCTAGAAAAAAGAAGGATTGGGGATAACATGATAGCAGTGTTCCAATATTTAAGGAGCTGCCACAAAGAAGCAGCAGAAGGCAAGACAAGAAACAATGGATGGAAATTAATCAAGGAGACAAACAACATAGAATTAAGGAGAAATCTCCTAACAGTGAAAATAATTAACTAGTAGAATGCCTTGCCTTCAGAAGTTCTGGGTGTTCCATCACTGGAGGTTTTTAAGAAGAGACTGGACAGCCGTTTGTCTAAAATGCTATCATGTCTCCTGCTCGAGCAGAGGGTTGAATTAGAAGACCTCCAAGGTCCCTTTCAAATCTATTATTCTGTATTTTCCAAGACATATAGGGACATATGATGACTACAAGTACAATGTATTTCTTATGTGACCCAGATAGTACTATGTCTAACTGTATAAAAAGTCAAGTATAAACCAACTGGACCACATCTAATTGTGAAGCATAGGTGTGGATACTCAAGAAAGTAGCAGCAACAAAGATGTATCATATCCCTATTTTGCATCAGTCATATGTCTCAACCAAGCAATATGTCAGGTAAGAAGGACAAAATTAGCACAAAATGGCAAAATGAATACGAATATGCTGTGGCAAATCATTAAAGATGTAATATGAGTATATGAAAATAGCAAGTTAAAATGTCAGGTATTGTCCAGTAAAAATATTAAAAATTCAGTTATTACTTAACTTTAATGTAAAGAATGAAACATGCTGTTCTTTAACATGGATAATGTTTATAATGTTTATGTTTATGGCTCCTTTTCTGAGATCTTACCTTGCTTGATTTGTGATCAACAGTAAAACTAATAATGGCATCTTCCATTTTTTTCCGGCCAGATTTAGTTATCAGATATTCAGCAAGCTTGTTGGCTAAATAGGTCTTTCCAGTGCCACTAGGTCCTGATAGGATAATCCTGTGGTGCTCCATCAGTAAATTAAAGTATTGTTGACTAATTGGTTTAGGAATTAATGTATCAAACACAAAGCTATCCAAACTATTTTCTTCTACTCCTAACAACAAAAACAAAACAAAAAACAAGAAGTAAAACAAGAAAAAAATCCTATTATGTCATTTTGGAAAAATTATGGAATCATTTAGAGAAATATTTTTCATACTTAAAAATCAATTCATTGAATATTAATGTAGCAACATGATTAGATAAGCACTTGCAATCAAAGCAAATGTGAAGTGAAAACTAGGTGAGGCAGCAAGACATATCTGAAATGTCTGAGACACTTAAAAAGGTCAAACTGATTACAGCAGATGAGTTAGGAGATCAGAAATATCACTGTAAATAACAGATAGTTTGTTTGAACGTCCCCACACTGCAAAACCACTACACTGTCTACATAGTTGAAATATTTGATTCAGAATCTTAACTCCTCATTCTTCAACATTTATTTATCCTGGTTATAGATTTGTCTTTATTTAAAAGAAATAATACAAATATTATATGAGATTCTCACAATTAATTTAGCATTAATAAGGAATTTTAGATGCTACAAAAAAAGGTGGTGTTAAAGTAGGAAGCGTCAGTGATGAAGTGTTTGAGGAGATAAGGCCTATGTTTGAAATGTAAAGGATGTATCAGTTTGGTCTCATATTACATGTCTATATCCAGTCCACTTATAATAAACATATTTGTCTGTGGTTGTCCCAAATATACCTTTGAATTGGTCAATGTTATTTTTATTTGAATTTCCTGAATCAGTATATGGATTCTAAGATTCTGTTCTTTACAATATGATTCTTGGCTCACAAAAAAGAAATGAAATATCTATTTTCAAACTGAATAACTAAGTAATCATGAATTTTAAACTAAAATTCATTCTGTGTTTGCGTATGCATTCTATATTCATCACTGATGAATATAGAATGCATTTATGAACCAACACTGAAACTGACATAAATTACATTTATCACATTTACCACTGGAAAACTAATTGTGGAGTTTTGTGGAAAAGAAAATGGACATTATCAGCTCCAGACTTGTTTTAAAAAGCAGCCATCTCAACTATACCAGGGCAAATATACCAGGTTGCTTAATATTTAAACTATTCTAAATTGTACCAGGCCATTTATTACATATAATATGTTATTCCTAAAAGTGTTCCCCTTCAAATTGGTATCCAACAATTGTATTTATTTTAAGATGATTAAAGGCCTGGAGACTAAAACATATGAAGAACAGTTGCAGGATTTGGGTTTGGCTAGTCTAGAGAAAATAAGAACTAGAGGAGACAGCATTTGAGAGGTTGTCACAAAAAGGAAAGGGTCAACTTATTTACCAAAGCACCTATAGGCACGACAAGAAAACTGGATGGAAACTAATCAAGGAGAGAAGCAACCTGGAACTAAGGAGAAATTTCCTAACAGTGAGGACAATTATTACGTGGAACAGCTTGCCATCAGAAGTTGTAGGTGCTTAATCACTGGAAGTTTTTAAGAAGAGACTGCACAGTCACTTGTCTGAAATGGTATAGGATGTCCTGCTTGAGCAGGGGGTTGGACTAGAAAACTTCCAAGGTCCCTACCAGCTGTATTCTGATCGATTGATATTTTAAATTATTACTTTTATTTTTATCTGATTTTTTATGATACTTTAAAGTGCACTTGAGCATGTAGTTATAATTTTTTATACTCTGCTGGGCAATAGATTAGGAAAACAACATTACAGAGTATGCAGAAGAAAAAGGGAATAAATTAAAGGTGTGTTTTACCTTTAAGATTCACTGTGATTATGTTATTATCTCCAACCAGATATCCACAAGGTAGCAATTCAGGTACTTCTTGGTTATGTGCTCTAATTATATCACCTACACAATAATTAGCTATACAATCTGAGCTCAAACCAAGGCTAGTAGTTGGATCTACTCGGAAAACATATTCCTAAAATAATAATAAAAAAAGCAAATGGAAACATTCATAGTTTGCAGTATGAATGAATGAATTATTAACCTACTCGTTCATATGCCATTCTCATTACTACAACTTGCAGATCAAGAATATACTTTAAGCTTAAATGGAAAATGTCAGAAACAATAACTCAAAAATGTCTAGTATTTCTTGTTGGATTTTATAAGACATAATTATAATTATCTTGATTTCTATCTTGCCAAATACCTAGATTGTGGGCAGATTATAATAATAAAACACAAGAATTTAAAACCCATCATCATATATACTAAAAACTAGAGAACACCAGAAACTTCAAACTTCTTAACTTATGAAGAAAAAGTTGTGGGCAGTTTGCCAGTATATCACATGTGCAAATGAAGCTCAATTTACCCAAGTGCATTTAGGTAGTTCTAGAAATCTAGAAGCTATCTTACAAGTCCACCTTTTAAAAGCTAAGAATGTAAAGCCTTTTAAATTTTAAGTGGCAGATTTTTCCAGGGAACTGCACAGCAATAGAAAAGGTTTGCTTCATCGTTTCTTTCTGTCTAACTTTTGGAAGGTGCAAATGTGAACCATCTGCTCCTGATAGAAACATTTCATTTAGATCAGACAGTCCAAAGATAATCTGGAACCAAGCCATATAGAGTTTTATATGTGATAAGTAGCAACTTGAATGGGAAACAAGAGGTACGGTAGCTAATGCAGTATCAGCAGTACAGTGTAATCTTGCTTAAAGGCTCTTGCCCATCACAGTCATGTGGCTGTATTCTATGGTTGCTGAACTCGAATTTACAAATCATTTCCAACTGCAGGCCCAAATGCAGCATGTTATAGTAATTCAAATGAGACATTTTCTGGAATGCCCCTGGATAATACCCCAATCAAAGAACTATCAGCTCAGACAAACAAACTAACAGTAAACAATCTAATCAAGGAATCACCAAGATCACTCCCACCAACACTAGCAAGCCACTAACATATAAAAAGAGAGCAAACCCCATTCCCTTCTAGTGCTGATGACGTTTTCTAGTTTGGTAATGAAATATCTGCAAGAAAACAACCAAGCTCAGAGAACACCAGGGACCCACATATACACTGATCTCATGGACCCTAATCAGCTTAAGATGATCCATTTAATTAACTGATTGTGGGGAATGTCCTGGCTTCTTATATAAGTTTGCTTTTTATTTATCTGTTATCTGTTTATTTATGCAAATAGATAATAGAAACTATCCTATTAACTGATTGCATGTATAGGAGTAACATATTTGAGTTGTTAAAAACCTGGCCCACGAGTAGAGTTTTCTGAATCTCTTTTCTGACATCTGATAATCATTTTGCAGCTGGGATATGGTAACCCCAAATCTATCACAAAATCTGCTTGATGCTCATTGTATTAAACTTGCAAAACCTTACCTTAAAGAGTCGTTTAATTACACCATCTAATACATCCCATTTTGTTTTACCACTGACCCTGATAGAACCTATCAAATATGCCTGTATTCTTTGGTCCTATAAAGAGAGGAGATAAATGAAATAAGAAATCATTTTCAATACTGATAAATTATTTTGTCAAGCTTTTCTGAGTATTTTCTGCAAAGAAAAACAATATTTTTTTCAGCTATGTTATAGATATACCAAATATGTTGCAGATTTTATATTAAAACATTTTTTCATAGCAATAGTAATAGCACTTAGACTTATATACTGCTTCACAGTACTTTATAGTCCGCTCTATGCGGTTTACAAACTCAACATATGGCCCCCAACAATCTGGGTCCTCATTTTACTGACCTCAGAAGGATGGAAGGCTGAGTCAACCTTGAGCTGGTAAGACTCGAACTGCCAAATTGCTGGCAGTTGACAGTCAGCAGAATTAGACAGCAATGCTACATTCTAACCACTGTACCACCACAGCTCTTCTGAATCAATTATTAATGCCCACATTTCTGTAAACCACACATACTTATATCAAAATGCCAATATATCTCAATGATGCCAATGTAGGTACAGCATGAGAAAAAAGAGTTCTTTCAACATTATTTGTTGTGCTCTAAACTGAATATACTGCTGATTAGAACAAAACAGCCATTATAGCAACAGTAGCATTTACAGAAATATAATTAAGATAATCATATGGCAATAAAAGTTGGAACCCAGAATACCTTTGATCGACCGTAGCCCTTGTTTATTGTGACAATAATCTTAACATTCTGGCCTTCTTTATGGAGAGTTCCATCTGCAACATCTTCCAGTAAAATATCTAAGCAAGCCAACAATAAATATAAGTGCTCTTTAAAATAAAATTAAATTTGCATGAATATAATCTGTAAAAGGCTATGATTATAATGGCCTATGATATTTTCTTTCATTTGTTGGCAAAAATGAATATATACTTTGAATATATGGATTCTGTCATTTGATGGCAGATCCCAACTCAGGATGTCACAATGTAATATATGTGACGAAATATTTCCAATTCTACATGAGTACTTATCTACTTAACAAGGATCATAAATGGATTGAAAGCCACCTCACTGTATGACTGATGGTTCAAACTGATTATAGTATTAAGATATTAATCAGTATATTGCATCCATTTGCAGAAGAGTTTTATTGGGTGCTAATACAAAAATAATCAACATTTCAATGTTACTTTCATATGGTTGGGAGTAGAAAACAGGAAAATAGGAAATAATCATGTTAAACAGATACTACATCATTGAAGAAAGAAAAGAATCACATGCAAGATGAAATCAATAATAGAAATAAAATTCATCAATTATCTTCAAGTATTTAGCAAGGATGAATCAACTGAAAATACATAATCATATACAGTTTCAGTTTGATAAAGAGCACAATAAAGCAAGTTCATTTTTCAAGTATGACAAAATGGTTACAATTTTTTTGAATGAAAATTACTTTGAATCAGCTAAAAGAGTTTGTTTTAGGGCAAAAAATGCTTGGGCTAATGATATCAAATATTTGTACATGCAAACCTATCTAAAGGTTTGGGTTTAGGTATAGGGACTTCAGTATATTAATGTAGTTTAATATATACTTTTTTGGATTGCTTTGGGACTTGAACCCAAATGTACCTTAAAAATTTCTGAATCCTTAGAGCCCAAGCTAGTTGTTATCCAAATTCTGAGAAATTACTCTCCAAATGTGACACCCCCAAAAGAAGAAAATATCCACAAATAGTAAGTTAAAGACTGCCACTAAGTTCTTATAACTACTATATGTACAATGAAAAAAAGAACATGAATATATTAGATAATTAAAATACATGCATTTATACACACATATGTAAAAAAATTAAAAATGCACATTTAATTATTCCATTTCTATATACAGTATTTTGCAGTATATGTATTGTATACACATAGATTGTATATAGAGTTATATTCTGCGGATGGAAGAAGCTTCCCTCATAGAAAATTTCCTCAAGTGAAAGCAGGAAACAACCAGCCAATACTACTGTTGCTATTACTACATGCAATACAACAGAGAGAAACAGCAAAAATGTAGTATTTCAATTTTCCTTTATACACAAAGGATTATTCCATTTCATATTAAAACATCACTTACATAATGAGCACTTTTCCAAATTTATTTACATTTTTCTGTACTGTGACAATAAAATTATATTTGGCAAGAAGTCTGGAGGTGTGGGGGAATGTGTGAGGAGAGAGAAGGAGAAGTATTCCATGATGCAAAAATATTTGTTAAGAGAATAAAGCTTTTACTTACCAGATGTAACTGAATCTGCGATGTTTAAGTTATTCAGAGAGAGACCTAGAGATTGTCGCGAAGAGGAAGAAGATGTGCTGCTTGAGGACTCTGAACATGGCCTGATAGATTTGCTAGTGTTTCCAGTCTCAGCCTTCAAACGATCATTCTCAGCTTTCAAAATCTCAATTTCATTCTAACATTTAAAATACAAATAAGAAACAATTAAATAAATGAGCCAGAGAATTTTAATCTCTCTGGTATAATATGGATAATCATATTTTAACCATTAAGACCAAACAGTTAACAGAGATGCAAAAATACTGAAAGAATTTTCATTGGTATAGCAGCTGGCAGTTTTTGAAGTATATCATACAATTATAGCAATGAAGCAAAATAATACCTATCTAATACATGACAATTAACCTCACATTTAATTGCATTATTAAGATGCATCCAAGTAGTAGTTTTTATGGGAGATTTCATGTAATTAAAAACAGTCTTAAAAAAACTAAACCAAAATCAGACTAAGGATCTCTTTCCTTCTATTGAAAACATCAATTTCAGAATAAGAAAACCGTGAACATGGCAAGTGCAGAAATTTGGATAAAATACCTTTTTAGTAAATATTATGTAATTTATCCTTTGGTTGGAATAAGAACTTTCAAATAGTTCCTATAGTTGAACTCTTCTTACTCAGAAATATTCTTAGCTTTTCTTTTTGCACTGTTATCTTAAATATATTTCAGTATATTTATAGTACATTGAAAATTGCCACACAGATTTTTCAGTTCAGGGTGATTACAAGAGTGCATTAATTTTTTTTAAATAATGCCCTAATCAGTTGTTCCACAGAACTGACCTGCATGCGGTTCATGGCTTCCCGAATTTGGTCAAGATGATGGGCAGAACTGAGGGCTTCAAGACGAATATCTGTAAGCTTGAGCTCTTTCTCCCTGAGCTCATTTTTTAGCTGAAGAATTATTTCTGCTTCTGCTTCTGTGCATTCACAAATCCTAAAACAAAGAGGAGAAGGTAAAGAGGCAGAAAATTAAAGGAAACTTCTCTTCTCACGGCAGTGTATTATTATAGTATATCCAAAAATCAGAAAAGGTTTCTGCTGCTGATTCCTAGGAGCAGGAGGGAGAATTTCATCAAAGCAATATGAATCAGTTCAATTTAAAAAAGTGAAAAGGGGAAACAGTATCTAGATAAAGTTGTAAGGTTGTTCTATAACTTTTCTATTTAATTCCTTTTATAAGAACAGTGACGTTTTATACTCCAAATTCAATAGGACTGTATTTTACAAATCATTTCTATATTAAATAGTAGCCCTGCTTTTATTAAAAGTAAACAATTTCCAAAATAGTACAAATTAAAAATTCATTGCTAGTATTAACTATTGCGTTTCTCTTTTCATATGATTTTTCAGATGATTTGTCTTTCAGTCCAACTCATATATAATGAGATTACAAAATACTTACATTAAGTACCAGTATATGTGAGCTGACTTAATTGTTTTCTTTTTTATGGTGTTCAAAATGTCTATGCTATGACTGTAGAATTTAATCTGTACCTATGCTAATATTCAATATTTTTCATAAGTTGCATCGAATACATTCCATATGGAAAATAAGAAACATTTGTGCATGGCATAAGACATGGGTGTTAAACTCGCCACGTCACGTGTCGTGATGTATCGTGACTTTTTTTGCATTGCCGGAGCTGGGGTGGGCGCGGCCTCCATATGATGGAACTAGTCTGCAGGCCAGCAATTTGACACCCCTGGCATAACAGATAGCAGAAAATACATATACATGACATCATGCTTCTGTTTCCGACAGTATGTAAGATGAAATCAAGAACATTTAAACTTTAATAGTGAATTAAAACTTAAAATTAAATTTTTAATTCTTTCCTTTGGAGCATAAAAAAAACATGTCCTTTCTGCTCATTATTAAACTGATGTACAATAGCAACCACACCATTGTTCACATAATAGTCTTTTAGTTTTAGTTTATTCAACAACATATGATTGATATACTGTTTTTTCAAAGCATGCCTGCAAGGACATTTGGGGAGAAAATAGAGAACATCCTTCTAGTTCTTGGATAAATAACTCCAAGCCCCTTGTGCCAATTTACCGGGATCTATGCTTGTAGATCACGGGACCATTTTGCTTTTTCTTTGGAGCCCAGAATAGAGATGACCTGCATGTACACGCATTAGACAGACAGATGCAAGTGAAAGAAAGTAAAGGAAATGGTTTAGAAAATAAGAAACCATGAAAGAAGCAGAATAAAAAAATGCAGTAAAATGAAAAAGTAAAAGCTTTAAGAGGGGATGATAACTAAATATGGACATTATGTCACAGTTTAAACAACTCTTGTTTATGGCTTTCATTATCATGTTGATAATGTTGATATCATGTTACAGTGTTCAGTGGGATGTTATCAACATGCTTTGGAGTGCAATTGTTCATGCAAGATTGCTATTTTATGTCATATACTTAAGGCAGGTTTAATCTACCATTTTAAGAGAAACTGCTAGGATAGGATATCTTTCTTGATAGGCTGATTTGCAATGTGCAAAATAATTATTTCACCATGTCAAAACATTCAGATATTTGATATCTGTCTCTGCCCAATTGGTAATTTAAAATGTTGCACCTCAACAAACAGCTGTATCATGAGGAATCACAATTGCACTATTATAGTGCATAACTATGAACCAGAAAGAAAGAAAATCCCTTTTAATACATCACTGCAATTTAATATATAAGTTGAAATTGGCAGCGTTTCTTGATCCACAACCAGCAGAATGTTTTGCAGAATGGTAAGTGGCATGTTTCATGTCAGCAAGATTGTAACTGTAACTCTACAAACTTCCATCCATCCAGGAATTGATCTATTTGGCAGCAGATTCTGCAACATGGCTCAGCTTGTACAAGTATTTATTGCAGTCAAGAGTGAAAGGTATTACAAACAGATCTAGCCTACCTCAATATTCCACAGTCAGAGCTATGTAAATGCCAAAGCTCAAGGGTTTACATTCTAAGCTGTTTTTTTCTACTTGATTGTCATTTACATGCTTCTTAGCTGGTTTCTGACAAGCAAAGACAAAGGAGAAGCCAGCAGTAAAATTGCAAGTCATGTGATGTCTCACTTAAAAATAATGATTAATTCACCTAACAACTGCATGGAAGCAATATCGTAAATCAGTTGCAGATAAGTGATGTTTTGCTTAACAACCACGTTGCTTAGCAACAGAGTTGCTGATTCCAATTATAGTCATTAAGCAAGGACTACCTGTAGAGAATTAAAATGGCTTGAATCTTTAAAAAGAGACAATGTTTCTTGGTAGCTCATGATCACTATTATTTCTGAAATAATAGTGATATGTTTTCCAAAACTATCCCATAAAAAATTGACACTTTCAAAAAGAGACATTTCTCAAAGAATAAACATACAGTGAAGTTGATTGGGATGGCCTGATTGAAGTAGATCCACAGTCTCCAGCACCATGAGGTAATTTAGGTGAGGATGGTAGAGATGAATCTGTGACTTCTTCTATGTCAGAATGGGAGGAAGGATGTTTTGAAGACTTCTTCTTTCCAAAAGCTTGTTTGAATGAACTCCTTAGCTAGGAGGGAAAAAAAAGGAACATCAATATCTTTGGCGATTTAGCTCTCATTATTTGAGAGAGTTCAAATATTTCTTTCTTGTATGAGAAGTTAGTTTGCAGAGGCCAATCTAGCTACTACCTGAGTTAAGTGTATAGACAAAGCAAGACATTAACGTGTGCAACACAGTATCTTTAGGAACATGACAGGGTGCTTTTTAAAATTAACTGAGAACTGTGTTATAGGAAACACACACAAGTGAACTATACTAATACAGTAAATGGATACTCATTTAAAACCCCATACCGCTTGTGAAATACCTTCTTTCTGGCATTCACTTTAAGATGATTGGTCTTAAATAAGTACATTCTTTTTCTAAAAAAAAAAAAGTCATTGGCTTATAAAAAACACTGAATTCCAGTCAATATGATATTGTCCGTTATTTGAGGGAGGAGACATTTTCTCCCAGAAAGATTACACTTTATAACTTCCACAGTAGCACTGATCAGAAATAAGCATATTGAAGCTGCAGTATTTGCTTTTCCACTAACAAGAAGCTGAAAGGGTTGGGAAACAGAAAGCATTTGCTTAAGTTCTTTTAAAGAAGCAAGTTCATGTATGCAAGCATGGCCTTTATTGTCTAAAAGCTCTTATCCATTATTGAAAGGTTCAGAATAGCCAAACAGCCATTTATTTCAATAGTTGAGATGGCAAAAGCTAAGTCTCTAATAAGCAGTATATCTTTTATGTCTGAGCTGTCAAAAGCTTCTTATGAGCAAGCAGATTACCTAAACCAAGGGGAAAATATGGTTCCCAAGTAGTTATTTTATTATCTTCAGCAAAATTTTGGAATATTTTCTTTAATAAGAATCAGGTCAAAAGTAGAACTAGATATATGAGTATGTTTTATTTGCTCATAAATACTCAAATAAATACTTCAACCTTTTTGAAGTATATAAAGATTTCCCTTATTGAAAATTTTGACTTTGGTGGTAAAAATATCAGCTCATTTTGTGTATTTTTTTTCTTAAGATATACACTTTGTATATAATTTGTATTACCTGCATTTTTTGTAATAATATATGCTAGTATCCACCTTTTCATATGCAGTTTTCTCTAATGTGTGTATTTTGGCACATATTTTGTTTGAAGAACTGCATTGCACTATTTGGAGAAGGACCAAAATGTATTGCATTCCAGTTGGCATGTTACTTTGGAAAGCACAAATCAGATTGGTTTGTATGAAGTTGAATCAACTTTCTCTTCCATCCCTCTTCAAGAACTGGGAGGCTAAGAACTGATTAACCATCATACAGCATTTCTTTTCGCCATTTTATGTTTTCTAATGAGAAAAAAATGGATTTTGGCGACACTTCCCCTTTCCATATTTTAAAGTTGGAGGTAAAATGAAGAGAAACATTAAGGAGACATAAAGGATAATATTTCAGAAGGGTACAAAAGCCTAATGCCAAAATGAATAGCAATCATGCCAAGATAGAATTCTTTAAGATGCATGCCAAATTTTCCAGGATTTTATATTCACCTCACTTCCTCTAGAGTTCACCTTGCAGAAACATGAAAGAGTGTGCAATTACAAATCAAGGGAATGACGTTGGAATCAGTATTTTTAAAATATTACCCGTGTAATAAACATTTTAAACAATAAAAGTATTTTCCTACTTTTATGTCACTAAAATTCTAGTTCTTGAAGTATCTGTCTCAATTCAAACTGTTATGTTTTCAAGATATTTACCACATTTCTTTCATGGAATGAAACAAGGATGTCTACAGAATGTTGTTAAAAAAAAAAAAGATAGTATCGGCAAGAGTTTGATAAAAGTTATGCCTGCTTTTAATGCATGACAAACATAAAAAAACCAGTACAAACTTCAATTGCACTTTTGGGGCTGCTATCTTGACTTTTTTTTTACCATATTGCCTTATAAAATTGGACAATTAATATATTGTATATAGTGAAATGAAATATAGTAACTTGTGAAGTCTGTTATTATGTAGTGATCTTCATTTACATCAACAATATGATGTGATCTTGATATATCAACAATAGAGCAAGATGCAAAAAAATTATACCTATGAACAGCTATATTTAAACAGTGACTTACTATACATGGTTCATTCATTATATTATTTATTAAATAAAGAATTATACAAAAGGACAGACAGTCAATTTTACTTTATAGAGTACTTACCCAATTTTTCTTTTTCTTTTTTTTAGACTCAGCATCATTGCTGCTACCCATGCTTGAATGGCTTGTACCACTATTGATGCTGGCAACACTTTCAGATGAATGTTGTCGCCTTATTCGCAAATCTATAATATAAAGAGAAAGGAAATAATGTGTTACATTTTCCCAATATAACTCCTTTTCTAGTGTTTCAAATGCTATCTTAAACTCTCCTATATCCTTTATCCAGTCTATAATTATGACTATTTAAGGAAGGATATAAAGCATTTAATATATCATCTGATTATTCTTGATTATTTTTTCTAAATCCAGAACAAAGTTTAAATTAATGGAAATATGTTTCCTTAAATTCTGTTCTCATTTGAAACGTCCTTTTCTTCTTCTGCTCATGTCTATTGAAACAATATTTGGAATGCCTTACAGATTACAGAAAAAAATAATGAAAATTGTTCTTATACAAAGAGTGTATATACACTCTTTGTATAAGCAGAGGAAGAAAAGGACGTTTCAAATGAGAACAGAATTTAAGGAAACATATTTCCATTAATAAACTCTTTTGGCTTCCTTTAGGATGTGTTGTATCCTCAAGCCCTTTTAAACCATGTTTATCTCAGGAAAAATATGACATATATGTCTGCTTCAATTTAAAACATTGACATATATGTCATATTTTTCTTGAGATAAACATGGTTTAAAAGGGCTTGAAGATACAACACATCCTAAAGGAAGCCAAAAGATGTTCTATATCATTCTAAAAACCCTTATATTACCTGCTATAGTGCTATATGTGATTAAAATATGACGGATGTGGATTTTTCAGAGGCCTCATTAGACCTAGAGACAGCTAGAAATAGAACAAAAGTGAGTAAAGACCTAGAGATCTGATGGATCTAAAATGATTTGGTTGTCCCTTAAAGGCAGCATGATCCTGGTTATGCCAATCTGTTGTTGACATTGTTTATGCCATCTCCAATGCCATTTAATATTTATTTGCTATGTGTATGTAAGGTTGTGGCTCTATATATTTGTTGTACATAGTATGTTTGAGGTGAGTATTATGTATGTGTTTCACTTTGAGAGCGTTAAACTAAATTTCATTTTTGATGTATGCCATTGTGCCCACAGTAAAAAAATGACAATAAAGATTATCTTATCTATCTTATCTTATTTAATATAAGTGGATAGAAAATTGAAAAATTCAGAACTGCCTTTCCATTTCACATTGTTAGCTTGAGTACAAGAGATTTTAGTAAGAAAATAGCTGTATTTTGCTATTTGTCAACTTAGGAGTGCTTAGTAATTCCTCAGAGGAAGTAAACTCTTGGTTTCTGGTTCCAGATTGTGGCGCCAACAGACATTGGAGAGAGCTTTCTCTCCGCCGTCCAGTTTCCCTTTGTCAAGAGACCCTGGAAAGGGTCGAAAGTCGCCCTGGAGGGGCGACCGCTGCTGAGAAGGACCCTCGTTTGATCGCAGAAGGGCAGCAGCCCTTCGATTTGAAGGAGCTCCTTTGGATTGACAAAGAAAAGATTGGCCATTAACATGGCCGATCACCTAGCCGTACCAGCCAAAAGCCGAAAGCACTACTAAGCACAATAAAGCACCGTGGAAGATCTGGGTGAGACCCTTTTTTATTTTTATTTTACCCTATTTACCTTCCTGTGAAAGCCTCCTGAAACGTCTTCCCTGCTCTTAATACAGCAGTGTTTGCATACCTTGGGAATCTAAGCTTTGGAACAAAAGAAAAAAAAGAGTATCTAATTTTAATAACCAAATAACTGGAAATCTTATTATAGAGATGCAGCATCTTATCTATTTACTAAGTTTGGAAAATATCTTTTTTTCATTTTTTTAACTGGATAAAAGCCTAATTGACATCTGCAAAAAAGATTGTATGGTCTACTAGGGACATTTTGTGGATAAGCCTGGTATAGCAATTGAATTTCTTTGACAGTGTGGCCTGCTGACTCTCTTGATTTGCCCTTCATATTATCTAAGGAAAAGATAACAACTGGAAACAGTTGGGTGATGAAAATAGCTTTTAGAAATTGTGGAGGTGGACATTGGCTGACTCTTACTAAACATAGCTTCCACTAAAAGACTATCTCTAATCACTATGGAAATGGAGGAACCTTATCCACAACTCAATTATAAACTCATACTTGAAAAAATTCTAGAAGCTAATGAATACCAGAGTGAAAGCCAAGGATGTTAACCAGAAACTACTAACGGAACCCCAGACTTCAATTGAACAACTTATAAACCTAAAAACAACAGAAGAGGAACAAGTTAACAGCAAAGAGGATGCTGTACAACAATATTTATAACCTATTGAGAATTTTGAGAATCCAACACTGACTTTAACCAAAATACCTGTAATTTCAACACCAGCAAGAACTGATCAACAAACACAATATATTGGAGAACCTAGACAACTCAGACAAGCAAACAATAATTACAACACTGGACATGACTATTTACTCTAGTCAGATGGAAATGGAACAAGAAGAAAAAGACCAGACTGAACTGATGATTAACATCCCAAATCAAACATGGAGAATTGAATTACTAGGGCAACAACCTAATAACTACAAAGGGGCCAGTTTCTTTGAAAAATTGACATCTGGATGTTCCCCCTTGATTCAAACAACATGTGTAGGAATGAAGGGAGATGCATCAGAGGATTTAAAGGCTCTGGCATGGAAGCCTGCTTGGCACAAAAAGAAAGCCAGAGTTAGATTTTAAAATGGGACTTAAAAATTTTACCTGACGGGTTAAGGAGAGTTTTAGAGGCATTGACTGATATAATATTTAGGATTTAGATTTATAATGGAATGAAAATTAATTGTTAGATTATAATATTGTGGTTATTAAAGGCTAAATTGGAATATGGTAACTGAAACTAAGTAAAATTTTAAAACAGGATTTGGATATGTATAAGCAAAATGTTATTGATAAATGTATTGATTGACTGATTTAGAAATGTATCAATTTGAACACGATATAACAACTAAGGGAAATAGAAAGGAAACCTCAATGTGGGAGATTTTTAGAGATATTGACTGATTTAATATTTAGGATTTAGACATATAATGGAAATGAAAATCAATTCTTAGATTATCGTTTGAAATTGTAACATGAAAATGGGTTTGTGACAATGAAAGATATTTTACTAGTAAATGAGAACCTACTAGGTCGAGAAATAGAATATATCTGTGAAAGAAAGTAAGAATGTAACTTTTGGAATAATATATGTAATCTACATACAATAATTATTTGGTAATGAAATGAGGAAACTAGGGTCATTTGAAGTCTAAATATTATGGTTTTTAAAGGCTAAATTGGAACATGATAATTGGAATTAAGTAAAACTTAAAAACAGGATTTTGATATGTACAAGTAAAATGTTTTTGACAAATGTAATAATAATAATAATAATAAGGTTGTTAGTAGGGCACTGTTGGAAGAAGGAATCTTTGCCTACTTTGCAAGAATGGTTTCTTAAAGTTTCCTACTTAGCGGAAATGGCAAAGATTTCGGCTTTTTTGAAAGATCAATCACAAGAGAAGTACCTTTTGGTATGGAAAAGATGGATAAATTTTATACAATACAAGTATGATATAAAAAAATATTATTTAGCTTTTGAATAATTTATATTTAAAGTTTAAGATTTTTTTTTCTTCTTCTTGTTTCTTTTTTTTCTTTTTCTGTTTTTTAAGTATTGGTGTTAAAGTATTTTATGATTTGTTTAATTATTGTAATCAAATTTGTATATGGTTTATTTGTGTTTAAAATTTTTTCCTTTAAATTTTAATTAAGCCTGTATTCAGCTCTGGGAAGGTTGGGGGAGGGTTGGGGTGGGTTGGGAGGGTTGGGGGAAGGGAACTTTTTTTTTTCTGTAAAATTTTAAAAATTTTCAATAAAAAAATAGTAATAATAATAGTAATAGTAATAGTAGTAATAATAATAATAATAATAATAATAATAATAATAATAATAATAATAAAGTTGGAAGGGACCTTGGAGGTTATCGTGTCCAACCCCCTGCTCAGGCAGGAACCCTACACCATTTCAGACAAATGGCTGTCCAGTCTCTTCTTAAAAACTTCCAGTGTTGGAGCATTCACCAGTTCTGGAGGCAGGTTGTTCCATTGGTTAATTGTTCTAACTGTCAGGAAGTTTCTCCTTAGTTCTAAGTTGCTTCTCTCCTTGATCAGTTTCCATCCGTTGCTTCTCGTCCTGCCTTCAGGTGCCTTGGAGAATAGCTTGACTCCCTCTTCTTTGTGGCAGCCCCTGAGATATTGACACACTGCTATCATGTCCCCCCTCATCTTTCTCTTCGTTAAACTAGACATACCCAATTCCAGCAACCGTTCCTTATATGTTTTAGTCTCCAGTCCCCTAATCATCTTTGTTGCTCTTTTCTGTACTCTTTCTAGAGTCTCAGCATCCTTTTTACATCCTTGGTGACAAAAACTGGATGCAGTACTCCAAGTGTGGCCTTACCAAGGCATTGTAAAGTAGTATTAATACTTCACGTGATCTTGATTCTATCCCTCTGTTAATGCAGCCCAGCACTGTGTTGGCTTTTTTGGCAGCTGCAGCATACTGCTGGCTCATATTTAAGTGATTTTCCACTAGGACTCGAGATCCCTCTCACAGTTACTACTATTGAGCAAGGTACCCCCTATACTATACCTGAACATTTGGTTTTTCTTGCCTAATTGTAGAACCTTGCTTTTTTCACCATTGAATTTCATTTTGTTAGATAGTGCCCAGTGTTCAAGTCTGTCCAGGTCTTCCTGTATCTTAAGCCTGTCTTTTGGAGTGTTGGCTATTCCTGCCAGCTTGGTGTCGTCTGCAAATTTGATGAGTTCCCCATCTATCCCCTCGTCCAAATTGTTGATATAGATGTTGAAAAGCACTGGGCCCAGAACAGAGCCCTGGTGCACCCCACTACACACTTCCCTCCATGTAGAATGATTGATTGAGCTTTACCTAGAAATATATTAATTTGAATATGATATAATAATTAAAGGAAATAGAGAGGGGATTTTAACGATATAACCTGACAGATATATGAATGATTTTGCTATTGGATTATTGATTACCCTATCACCATGCTGCTTCCTAATTACTTGGATGTAAAAACTGAAAAATTTAATAAAACCTGTTTATAAAAGAAGAAGTAAACTCTTTGGAAATCAATTAAGTTGAACTTTTAAAGATATGGAAACATTACAAATATAAATTTTCATATGGAACGTTCTACAAATGTGGCACAAAATCCATTTTTTTGAAAAACAGAAAGTTGGTAATGATCTACTATTACACCCCTGAAAATTGAGACAGAATATCATACCTCTGTGAGTGTGGTCAGGGCCATTCAGAGCTCCTTGAATAGCAGCCTGGGCAGCCGAGTTCTGAGCTTTCAGCATTTCAATGGTTTCCCGTAGTTCTATGAGTTCTGATTCCTTTGGGAACAGGAGGGAAAGGCTCAAAATGTGTCACAGTAATTAGGTTTTATCCTCTGGGGTAAAAACACACAAAACTGAATGAAGGTAAGGTGTACATGAAAAATGCAAGTGAAAGTAAAAAGAAAATTAGGTTTCATGTATGCTTTTCAACTCAGCTAATCAAATATCAAAGTCCTTAGGTTGGAATATATTCATTTTTACAACTGCTGCAAGTAACAAGCTTTAGAAAGGAAATGTAAAATTTGTGAAGACATGCATTTTATTTCACATGTAATGCAGGGATAAAATGTAATATGAAATTATTTAGTAAGTGTAATGTATGGTTGAAACTATATCTGTTTCTTCAATTACTATTTTCAGCTCTCATTTTATATACCGAAACTTAAATCCTTTAAAACATTTATTGCTAGTCAAATCAAGAAAGTGGGTTTTTTTAATGTGCATATTAGGATATTTAAAAAAGCTTATCAAGGTCAATATCAGTATAATAAAATCTTCAAGTAAACCACCTTTGGGGAGTGTTCTAGTGCCATTCAATTAAAACCAAAATTACATTATTTGTTTTAATTTACATCATTTGTGTCATTCATTGAGTCATTTGTCACTGATACCACTATTACTCAGCCCCAGCAATTTTAATATAGGTAGATGTCAGCTCCCAGAATATCCACATCCCTTGTTTTTCATTCATTTTCATATTTAAGGTTTCAAACATTTTATTTTCCGTGTATTCAAAATGAATCTCACTGCAAGATCTACCAAGTAAAGTGTGATAGAACATAAGAAGAAAAATGTTGTATAATTTTTCTTTTTGATAAAGCACACATTCTTACAAAGTTGCTATCACTTTTGATGGAAGTCTCAGCTTTGTTTTTCCTAGTGGGAATTCTTCTAGTTTGATTTTGTTACATGAGGTTTTTTTTAGCACTGAATAACCTCTCAGTTAGGGCAATTTTAAACTACTGAGGTAAAATTTTTAGTTTTATTAAAAGTTTTTTTTCTTTCCTGTTACACTGCTCTCCCTTTTTCTCACACTGTAAATCTTTGGTAATTTTATGTACCATTCTAAATTACACCCCCCACGTCCATCCCACCCCATACACATACAAATGAATGTTAAGGGAAATGTTTTGATTCACTTAATTTTTTATTCATTCTTAAAACAAATTTGTATTCCTACAAATACTTAGAATGGGACTGCTTTTTTCTTCTTTTCAATGACAGAACACAGGCAAAATTATAAAAATATTGTGGCTATAAAAACATCTTGGAAACCAGACAAATTTTTTCGTGAGTTCCTTGGAAAATAGTTTAGAGTACTGCAATGTCAACAAAGCAAGAACTAGTCACCCAATGCGATGCAACATGTACCAAAATTATATCCTAAATTTATATGTCAACTATTATGTTAAATATACTTAACAGTGAAGTCAAGCTATATCTATATGTCCTACCAACTCAAGATAACATTGACTGGAAAACTAAAAACATGAAATATTTTCAACTAATATTTAGTATTCTCATAATGTTGCCAGACTGGAAAAAGTTACTCCTGTTGGTTTACAACCAGCTTTTGTTGTTAAATTTTTCAATACAGTTTAAATCCAGAGTTACAAACATTTTAATTAAAACCTGAAAATGAAAGATTTTATCTTCCCATTTCTTTTTGATACAGCTTGCTAACTGTAATTATGAGTAGTGTGATTCCATAGAGTTTTATTGTGAAGACTTGATAGCACAGGTCATGAAAGATGCACTTGTTTGTTTATTCCTGTACTCCTCTTTCAATACAAACTCTAATATAAGTCAGTGCTTTTGGATTAAGTTAGATTCTCCACATTACAGTATCTGCTGGTTTAAACATACCTTTTGTTCAGCTGTCATTGTTAGGCTTTGCAACCGGCCTGTCATATTCCCTAAGCTTTTTTCAAATGCAGCTACAAGATGGGCCTGTGACAAAGAAGGAAACATTCAAATGTAATCAGGATTTAAAAGCATTCAGTAAAAGAAGCTTGAACATCTCATTATTTTCAACAGGTCTGCTTCTTACGGTAATTTCTTCAATCATACCCTTACTTGCTCAAATGTATATATTCTAAATTTAATTTTACATTTATGTCTCAAATGTATGGAAACATTTCCAGTCTAGACTGCCAGTCTTCATTACCATTTTTTGTTTGTTTGTTTTAACAATACCAAAATTTTTCAATGAAAGATTTAAAGAGGATCTACAGTAAATGATATGGTTTGCTAAGCAAGCTGCATGCAGCTGCATTTTTATGTTGCATTGAGGCTAATATAAACATGGTAAAAATACTGATGGAAATCATAGTGAGTGGGGCAAAATTTCCCCCATTTGCTTTGGCAACATCTTCTTTATATGTGAATTTAAAAAGCTATTGGAACTTTATACAGAATAGTTTCAACAAGGTTCAACTCCCCATTCCTTCAGGTCTCCTAGAGCAGGGGTCCCCAACTGCCCTGGCCATACCCACTACTGGGCCATGGCCTATCCAGAACTGGGCCATGAGAGAGGTGGAGCAGCATGCACACGGCTTGAGTCACGCAAGTGGTGGGTCGGCATGAGCATGCAGCTCAACTTGCAATTGAGCTGTATGCACATGTGCATGCATGCTGGGCTGCCGCTTGCACAAGTTGAACTGTGCGCATGTTTGTGTGTGCCGGTTCACCTCTAATGTGGCCTGGTTCCCTTCTCCCCCCACAGCCAGGCTGCCAAGCTGCAAAGGTTAGAGACCGCTGTCCTAGATAACATCAAGAACAAGACTTCCGGTGGATTTTGCGCGCGCGATGGCGGCTACTTTGTAGCCGTCCTCCTGGGTAAGTGTAAGAACTGCTATGAACAGCAGACATCAGCTGTTCAGCGGTTCAAAATCCCCCTCCCGGGCAAAGGGGGGGGGCAGAGAGTGTCTGAATAGTGGTAGAGCCTCTTTTGCACCCCCCAAGTCCTTTTTTTGGGGGGTGAAAGGAGTGCTCCCACGGAGTTCAGACTTGTCTCCGCTTCCCAGCTGTTTTTGTCCTCAGGGATAAAACGAGCCGCTGCAAACACCTCCGTGCTTAAAGAGAACTGGTGAGCTTTTTTTTAAACGGACAGAGCTGAGTAGAGGATTTAGTTTTTGCTTTCTTTGACTTATTTGGATTTTAAGTTTTTAAGACTTGTTTCTATTTTTACTCTCTCTTTTTATTTCTCCTTCTTTGTTGAAAGGGAAAGTAAAATGGCGATCGGCAAATCTCTCGGTGTTTTTTTTTTTTTTTTTGGAAGTTAGAATGCTGACCGGCAGGCTTTTTGGTGCTTTTTTTTTTTTTCCTTTCCCTTTTCCTTTTTTATTTTTTTATGATTGGAATGGACTGTTAGAATTATTATTTTTGTTTAATCTTTGTGTTTGTTTTTGGTATCTCTAAGTATTTTTTTTTAAAAAAAAATGGAACGGACCTTTTCTATTTAATTATTTTTTTCTTCTCCCCCTTTTTTTTTCTTTCTCTCTTTTCTTTTTTTCTGAACTCCTTTCCTTTTATTGCAATGACCCCTTTTTGAAGGATTTCCCCCCCTCTTTCTTTTTGAATTCATGGAGTTAACTCCTTTTTTTTGCTTAATTTTTGCAATTTTTAAGGAGGAGTAAAGCTTTTTTAATTCCTTTTCTCTTCTTTTTTTCCCCCCTTTTTTCTTTTTATTATAATGACCTTCTTTGGAGGGAGTTATGATTTTTGAAGGAATTTTTATAATTTTTTAAGAAGGACTAAAGGGTTTTTTTTTTAAGATGGCTCCAAAGCGTCCAGGGATTTCTACAGCTTCTAAATTAACAGTCTCACCCTCTTCTGGGGGTCAGCTAACAACTATGAAGGATTTGCAAGACATGATGGGAGATGTCATAATTCAAATTAGGGCAGAAATGAAAAAGATTTTAGAGGAAAACAATAAGATCTTGAGACAAGACTTTGTTTTGGCTTTAAAAGGAGTTGCTTCTGTTCTTGAAAAGATGAACTCCCATGTGGAAGAGGTAGATGAAAAAGTGGAGATAATGGAGGGGAAAATTGAAAGTATGGAAAAAGAGATGGAAAATGAAATTCTTATGCTTCAATATGGACAAATGGAATATGCCTTAAGAATCAGGGGCCTGGAAGAGTCTTTGCAAGGAAATTTGAAAGAGATGGTTGCAAAGGACTTTGCATTGATTTTGAATAAAGAAAAAGAGGGAATACTTAGTGAAATTGAAAAATTATTCAGGGTTAATTCTGTGGTGGCAGCACAGAAGAATCTGCCAAGAGATGTGGTAATTTACTTTGGTAAAAAATCTCTACGCAATGAAATTGTGCAAGCCTATTATAAGAAGAGATTTCAAATTGCTTCACAAGATGTTATAATTTTTAAGGAGATCCCATCTAAAATTTTAAGAAGAAGAAAGGAGTTTGCTTTTCTAGCAAATGAACTTAAAAAGAGAAAAATACTATTCAGATGGGATGTCCCGACTGGAATGGTGGTGAACCACCTGGGGACATGTTATAGACTTAATACTGTTTCTCAAGCAAAAGATTTTTATACCTCGGTCCTGGGGGTATGTGTATCGCCATCTATTAAGTTTAAAGCTTTGGAAGAAAAGAATGTAGAATTACAGCTTGAAGAGCCTATATTTATGAAAATTGGGGAACCCTTGTTTGAGAGGCCCCAACAAGTCCAGGTTGAGGAACAGAAGACAACTTGTGCAGCATACAATTGCAAAGAAAAGCAGCAACAGAAGAAGGTCTCTGAATCTCTGGGAGAAGTTAGACCTACAAAGTCTCTGGAGCAATCTTCAAGGGTGGAATTGCTGCCTGAAATGGAAATTGGGAAATTTCAGCTTGAGGGGCACCAACAAGAGAGGAACGGGCAGAGGATAACTTGTACAACTTATAATTGTGAAGATCAACACAAGGAGGAATTCACTGAGGAAGTTTTACAGGTATCGGTCCCTGAGACTTGTCCAACATATAAATGTAAAGAAAAAGTAACATATAAATGTAAAGAGAAAGACCAACAGAAGAAGGAGGTTGAGGAAGTTTCACAGGTACTGATTCCTGAGCTTGTGGGTCAACCAGGACTTACAAACTCTTTGGAGCGATCTTCAAGGGCAGAATTCCACGCATTTTTTTCGATGCTTGCGGGCAAGAGAAACCGATATGGATTGTGCTTATAGTAGATGTAACTGGCTATTAGACAGAAGATTATGGATATTGAATGAAAATTTTAGATAAGAAGTTTGTGTTTATAGTGGGTGCAACTGGTTATCGGACAGAAAATTATGGACATTGAATGAGAACTTTAGACAAGAAGTTTACTATTGAGATTGTGGGAGAAGTAAAACTTACATCGTTTTTGGAAAATGTCTTATGTAATGTCTAAATATGTGTTTTGGGATAATAATATATTTCAGCTTTAAGTTTTAAACCTTTAATGATAATATTGTTTAAACCTGTGTTTTGAAGGGATTATAATTTGTTTATTTCAGTGAGGGGATTCTAATAAATTTGTGTTTTGAAGGGAGTATAATTTGTTTAAGTTCCAAGTAAAGCTTAAATTTGGTTTTTAAATATTATTATTAATATTTCTAAGAGAAAATAATTTGTTTAATTAAATGTCTAGATTTGTTTAGGAAAGAAAGTAATGCTTAAATCTGTGTTTTTGGAGGAAGTTTATATAGAATGATGATTGTATTTAGATTTGTTTAGGATTCAAAAGTGTTTCAAGTTTTTAAATATTATTAATATCTTTAAGAGAAAATAATTTGTTTAACTAAATGTGTCTAGATTTGTTTAGGATTTTTAAGTTTTTTTTTGGATAGGTGAGAAGATTATGAAGATTGAAGGAAATATGTATTTACTTTAAGTTTTCTAAGAGTATTTAGTTTTGATGGTATAACAAAGGTTTATATATTTATTTTTTTGTATTAGGATAAAGAAAGAGGGAGAAATTAGATTTTACATTATAGGTATAGATATTCAAAGAAAGTAATGTTTAAATTTGCGTTTTTGGAGGGAGTTTATATAGAATGATGATTGTATTTAAATTTGTTTAGGTTTTAAAAGTGTTTTAAGTTTTTTTCTCAATTAAGCCTGTACTCAGCTCTGGGAAGTCCAGGGGAGGGTTTGGGAGGTTGGGTAGGAGGGGGGTGAGGTAGGGTTGGGGGGGGTATGGGAAGGGGATTTGTTTTTGTAAAATTTAAAAATTTTCAATAAAAAAAAAAAAAAAAAAAAAAGAACAACAAATAAAGCAGGCTTCTGGTTCCGGATTGCAGCATGTGCAGTCGTTCAGAGAGACTCCTCTCTTCGCTGGCTGCTTTCCTTCTGCTGGTAGACCCTTAATCGGGTCGAAAAGTTGCCCTGGAAGGGCAACTACTGTTGAGGAGGTTCTCGGCAGCTCCTTCCGCAGTCTGAGATTGCTCCTTAGGGCTGACAGAGAAAAGATCGGCCAGTAAAATGGCTGATCAGTTTGCTGCAGTAACCAAAAGTCAGAAGAACACCTAAGAGTAAAGAACCACCGTGGTTGATCCGTGTGAGACCTTTTCTTTCCTCTCTTAGCCCTTTTTTTCCCTGTAAAAAGCATTTTTGGAATTATTTCCCTTCTTTGAGAGAGCAGCGTTTGTCAGTGTAGGAAGAGAAGCTTTGAAAAAAGAAAGAAAATTAATTTCATTGACTATTTTTTATTTCTATTTACTTTGGGGTCTTGAAAAAATTCTTATTGTTGAATTTCATTACTGGATTTAGTTTATATGTGAAGAATACTATTTTTCCCTGATTTTCTTAACCTTATTTTTGGTGTCTGGAAGAGATTTTATAATCTACTAATGACACCTTGTAGAGAAATTTAAAACTGCAACTGTTTCTTTTTCTCGTTTGATGCTGAGGTTGGTTTTGACCTTCAGATCATCATAAAAGGGAAAAGGCAAAGAAGTTCAATAGCTGTTAAATCTGTGAGGGTAGACACTGGCTAACTGTTATTAAATATAGCCTCCACTAAAAGATAACAGGATTGTCTCTAGTTACTATTGAAATGGAGAAACCTTATTTACAACTCAACTGCAAACTTATATTGGAAAAAAATCTATGAAGCCACTGAGCAAGTATGCATTAAAATAAAAGAGATTACTACAGAAATAAAAAACAGAAGCTCTGCTTTGAATTTACAAACCGACTTCCAGACTTCATTTGACTATCCTACAGACCAAGAAACAACAGAAGAGGAATCAATCAATACCAAAGAAGATTCTATGCCATTCTATATACAACCTATTGAGACTCCTGATGATCAAAAAGTGACTTTAACTAAACCATATATAATTTCAAAAGTAACAGGAATGGACGTGCAAATATAATTTATTGAGAACTATGACAATTTTGATAACCAACTACCAAAATTGGACATAATTGAGTGTCTTACTCAGCAGAATCAAATGTCGAGAGTTGAATTTTTAAAGCAACAAGGGATCAATTACAAAGGAGTCAGGGTTCCTAAAACAGAGGATGGGATGTTTTTTTTTTACTCAAATGATATCACAAGGAATAAAGAGAGATTTATTTGTTGATATAGAGGCTCTGTTATGGAAACCTGCTTGGCACAAAAAGAAAGCTAGAATAAGACTTAAGAGTGTGACCTAAAATTGTATGTAATGGGTTAAAAAGGCTTTTTAGACACGGATTGACTTAAGGTTTAAGATTTAGAATTATAAGTGGGAGGAAAATTTTGGGTTAGTGGAATATATATCTGAGATACAGACTGTATTTTTTGAATTAATGTGTCTACTTTATGTACAGTATGATAATTATTTTGTATTGGATGGAGAATAAGAAAACAGATTGTGTTAATAGAAGATATGGTATTAGTAAATGAGGAGATATTAGAACAAGAATAGAATATGTTTAGGAAATATAAGAATGTAATTGTGGGAATAATATGCTTTTTTTCTCTTTCTTTTTAGATATTATAATTCTTATGTTAGAAATAGAGGGAAATTATGGATACCTGAAATTTAAATAAGAAGTTTAAATGGCTAATTGAAATATGGTAATTGGAATTTTGTAAAGCTTAAACACAGGATTGGGATTTTTACAATTAATGGCTTTTCATAAATTTTATTGATTGATTGATTTGTACTAGAAATGTATTAATCTGAATATGTTACATGATTTGTGGGAACTAGAGAGGGAATTTTTAATGAGTTAATTTGAATTATACATAAATGTGTTGGTTTTTGGATAATTGACTACCCCATCACCACGCTGTTTCCTAAGCACTTTGTTGTAAAAACTGAAAAACTTAATAAAACTTGTATTAAAAAAAGAAAAAGCAGAATACAATAGTCTATGAAAATATATACTGGAAAAATGGTGAAATCTTCACTGTCCCTACAGTTGCATATTTAATATTTTGGCAGCCATAATAGCAGAAACAGGGCACCTGGTTTGTACTAGGAGCAGACATGGAAAGATGTAGGATCTATAAGATATTAAATCTTTCTATTTCCCTGGCAAATTACAAAGATCAATACTGGTGCATGAGAACCACAAATATTTTGCATCCAGCTGCCAGTTTCTCAATGACCAAAGTTATGAAGAAACTTGAAGTTTTGTTTCTCAGGAATTCTCCATTCTCAGTACTCGTAGGAATGTTTGGTCCAGGTTCAAAATCATTAAAACTACAGGTAGTCCTCAACTTACAACAATTCATTTAGTGACCATTCAAAGTTACAACTGCACCGAAAAAAGTTACTTATGACCATTTTTCACACTTATGATCATTGCAGCAACCCCATGGTCATGTGATTTACATTCAGATGCTTGACAACTGACTCATATTTATGACAGTAGCAATGTCCTGGGGTCATGTGATTACCTTTTGCAATCTTTTGTCAAGCAAAGTGAATGGGGACACCAGATTCACTTAACAACTGTGTTACTAATTTAACAACTGCAGTGATTCACTCAACAAATGTGGCAAGAAAAGTTGTAAAATGGGGCAAAACTCACTTAACAAATTTCTCACTTAGTAACATAAATTTGGGGCTCAATTATGGCCATAGGTTGAGGACTACTTGTATCAAAAGAACCAGACTTCTTAGAATAAGGTCAAGAGTGTTTGGGGAAAATTCAAAGCAAAAAAATACAGTTTGAATATAAGAATGAACATGACTTATTTTCTGATAAATAAAAGGTCCTTGCAGTGTGTGTTTCACTATTATGAACACAGACACCATTTCTATTAAAAAAAAAAATAAAGTTGCATTGTCATATAGTCACTCTTAATCTTCACTACTATCAGCCTTCTATCTTCATAACTATATTTCTGAAACATGCATTCCACAACCAGTGAGTGATGAATCAGTCCATCCAGGCAGAGTGTCCAGTTTATCTATTGCCTTCTCTGTTTTGCATGACGAAACACCTCAGTCTTTCTCCATTGGATAAAGCATAAGCCAGAGGTTTAGCAAAGTGAAGGAGGATAGATTCACATAAACATTTCCCCCTGTAAATGTATCTTTTTTGTAATTATATACAATTAGACTAAAATCTGCAGGCCTTTAGAGAAGACCTATCTCTTGCCCCAGGCCTTTAAGTCAGGTTGAGTAGAATCCAAGTTTGAGTGATTTGCAGTACAAAATGTTGTACTGCCCAGAGTCATATTGTTTGAGTAGGCACCATTATTAAATTAATAAGGATGATTTCCAATATTGTCCACCTACATGGATTATAAGGAAAGGACTTTCCTTACTTCAATCCTCTTTTTTTTACTACATACATAGTATGTTGTATGTAGGCCTAAAAAAACTTTAGAGTCGTCTACAGTAGCCCCATGACAAGATAGGTGGCAAATAAATTTAACAAATAAATACAATTTCCCATCTCAACTCTATAAATTGAGACCATATTGAAGCTTCCTTTTCCAGTATTCCCCTTCTTTCTCCTGCAAGTCCTGCTACGCTGTCTCAATGTGGCATGGGGCATCCTGGGAAGAATGGATGAAGATTGTTGGGAGTGTATGTCAAGAGTAGATATTCCCAGAAGAGTCACCCAAGGTGTGAAAGCCAGCCGCCCAATTAAAGCAATAGGCATCTTCATTGGACATCAGCAATAAAGGAAGATGATCCCTTTAAATGGCAAAGGCATCAATTCATATTGCGTAGGGGAAGACAGTGGTAAACCACAGCTGTATTTTTACCAAGAAAATAATATGGAAAAAAATCTGTCTATGTACTTACTAAGACCTGATGGCACATAATAAATTTTCAGCCTCTTCATGACTTCCTGTGCTTAATAATTGTATTTGTTTATAAATTCAAATATTATAAAAATATTTTAAATAAAAGTAACCAGTAATCATTTGCTCCCAGAGGTTTTCACTGATTTGGAAACTACAAAGTAATTTTTTTACATGGAGTTCTGTTTGTTAGAAAAAGAGTAGAAAAGCTTTAACTTGTTTTTATGCATTCTTGGATGTTAAAGTTTTAATGCTGCCTTCCTTTTTTTTTTTTTGTTGATGCTGCTGTTTTGTGCATCTGGTACTCAAATAAACTTTCATGGTTCATAAGCAGAATTTATTAGTACACTCATGTTGGAAGAACTCTCTTGACATTTGTTTATGATGTAACACATAACTCATTTAAAACTCATAATATCATCCCTAGTCCTTTTTCTTTCCGTACGAGGCAGTGACAGCAATCTTTCTTACAGATTTACTGTAGATATATATGCAGAATAAAAATATATCAAAATTATTATGATAATAAATAACTTACATTTGCTGATAGTTGTGATGTTAGGGTGGCCACTTTTTCCTGAGATGCAACCAGTTCCCGTCGTAATTTATGAATTTGCTAGAAAGCAAATACAAAGTGTTCTAAAATATGATATTTTATTCACTTGCTTTGACTAAAGACCATTTAATAATCTAGAACACAAAATATAACTGTGTTTTTTGCTCTGAGTTGTGTATTTGAGTGATATATAAATATTGCATTAAAGAATACATGGACTACATTGGCTGAAAGACTTCTTTAATCCAGTATCATAGATAATCAAATATAGACAATTATAGTAGACAATCAAATGCTTCCTGGAATAGACAGCCATCTTCCTTCCACCTTGGAAATGATATGAGCAGTAGTATTTTCCCATTCTTAACCACAATAACTGATATTCATACTTATGCTGGATATTATGGTGGAAGAATACTATCTTGCATTCTGTTATGCTATCATGATTGCATTCTATCCATAGCAATCATGACTAAACTGTATTTTGTGACAGTCTATGAGTCCCAAAATTGTTTAACTTCTTTTAAAGCTATCTAACCTGTTGCCCAGTCCACATTTGTGCAAATGAATTTCATTGTTTGGATATTCATAAAATGAACAATATGTAGGTCACTGTTTAATACACAAATACATAAACATACATTTTAAGGACCCAGAAGTATTTTTTTCAGAAGTTACTAAATGCTGATTATACCCCGAAACAAAATGTTAGCATTTATCTTGTGAAAAACAGGTTTAATGATTTATATACTTGGTGAAATAACCCAAAATAATTCACTCAAAAACTGCAGTTATTCTTAAACAAACCTACAATATTAGATTAAGAAAAATGTACTCTACAATGTAGTTTATCATTTTAAAATAAATTCAATACAGTGGTGATTGGTCTGGGCAGGTAACAAGATAATTAAAAAATTGCTGTCATTCATATCCTTATTGATAATCATACATGATGCAGCACTATATTTATTACTGTACTTATCCAGTAAATAAACAGATAAATGCAGCATCAAAATAGAGTACAATGTTGTAAACATTATTCAAAATAAAACACCAGTATATATTTGAAATTGAGGTGCTTAGGCTAAGACATCCAAGAAAAAGCTGTGGTAAATATTGAGATCTTTATAAACATATAATAAGGAAATATCACAGAGAAGATTACTCTATAATCAGAATGACACTATTAAAAAGACCTTGTCTACAGACACTGGCCTCAGGTGCTGGAGCACTTGAAACATTGTCTTGGAAGGACAAGTCAAAGCTGGTTGATAAGTATAAGAAAAAATGCCCCAAACACAACTATTTTAATTTAGTGAACATTATATAGTAAGTATATTTATATTTACCTCTGAATGTGCCTTTTCTTCAGCCTAGAGGGATGATAAAGTAGTTATTTATGAACAGTTTAAAATATTTTCTAAATTATTTATGAAAAGTTTACATTAGCAAAGCTTTAATGCTGTATGATTCCTTTTCTGCCACATTCTCTTTTACTATTTTCACTCTTCAAGTGAAACACATGTCTGGAATCTACATGATTATCTACAAAAGAAAAGAAAAATATCAAAACAATATGTTTTGGCTTAACTAAAAATTAATTTCCAGTTGTAATTGTAGATAAGAATTAGAATGAGAATATAAATTATAAATACTCCTGAGTTTTTTAATAACTTGGAATATTATCAAAGTTTTGGGTTATTGGTTGCAATTCAATAAATATTCACTAGGACAGGGCTTTTCAACCAGTGGTATGGGTACCACCTGTGGTACATTGGTACCTGGCAGGTGGTACGTGACCATCTTAGAAAAGTGGTAGCAGGGGAGGAGAATGAGCTGAACCAGTGGCAGCACCACACAAGCCTAAGCGAGAGATGGCTGGAGCTGCAGGGCTGTCGGGGCTCAGCGGAAACACCAGGATCAGCGCTTCTTCGGGACTGTCAGGGCTCAGTGGAAGTACCAGGATCAACGCCAGGCTCCAGCTTGAGCTCAGCACTGATCCTGGTGCTTCTGCTGAACCCAGAAGAAGCACCAGGATCAGTGCTGAGCTCAAGCTGGAGCGCCGATCAGCTGGAATGTTGCAGCATCTCTAGGGTCTTGTGATTTACATTTAGATGCTTGGCAACTGATTCATTTTTATGATGGTCACAGTGTCCCAGGGTCATGTGAAGTGACCAAAACCTGCTGCAACCACCCAGCAGATGGGGGGAATAAAAACCAAACACCCCCCACCCCACCCCCACTGCCAATCCTCAACAGAAATGCTCACAACAATGAAAACCTCAGACAGGAGGAAGAGTGCCACAGGCAGGTGTCTTGCTCGGCTGTGGCTTGGGGGGCACTTTTTTCAGTGCTACTGTAACTTCGAACAGTCACTAAGCGAACTGTTGTAAGTCAAGGACTACCTGTACTTTATCACTTTTTTCCTTTTTTTTTTTTTAGTCATCAAGTTTTTGACACCTTGCTAGGCGACTGGTGGTACTCAGATATTGCCATATCCTAAAAGTGCTATAATGGGTGAAAAGGTTGAAAAGCCCTGCACTAGGAAACAAGTCTAAATAAATGTAATATACTTATTCTGAATAGAGGTTCAAAAATAGTGTAATATGCTATATAACAAACATTACAATATTATTTTTAAAGCTATAGTTAGGGCAGCTGAAGTGGTGTCCCCAGCTTTAGTCAATATTTACACAGAATCACAAGAGAGATGTGCAAAACCATTTAACCTCAAAAGCCATTTTGAGTATGCTTCTATAAAACAAAATACATAAATTCTGAAAATATTATATCTATTAGAAAACAAAACAGTGTGAAGCATGAAATAAAATAGTGCCGTTTCAAGCGTTGCCGTGTTCCATCTGTTTTGAGTTTTGCAATTGGACCATTGAAAGATTAGGGGGAAAAATCCTCCTCTACCTCTTATATTGATAGTCTGTACTTTGAAACATATCTATGGTTATAACGGCATAGAATTAAGATACTTTAAACACATATAATGAAATAAGTAGATTGAATAATATGGTTTTACAATTAAAAAAGATGTTGAGACTCTAGAAAGAGTGCAGAGAAGAACAACAAATTAGGGAACTGAAGGCTAAAATATATGAAGAACAGTTGCTGGAATTGGGTATGTCTAGTTTAAGAAAAAGAAGGGTTAATAATAGTAATAGTAGTAAAGTTGGAAGGGACCTTGGAGATCATCTAGTTCAACCCCCTGCTCAGGCAGGAAACCCTACACCATTTCGGACAAATGGCTGTCCAGTCTCTTCTTAAAAACTTCCAGTGTTGGAGCATTTACTGCTTCTGGAGGCAGGCTGTTCCACTGATTAATTGTTCTCACTGTCAGGAAGTTTCTCCTTAGTTCTAGGTTGCTTCTCTCCTTGATTAGTTTCCACCCATTGCTTCTTGTCCTGCCTTCAGGTGCTTTGGAAAATAGCTTAATTCCCTCTTCTTTATGGCAGCCCCTGAGATATTGGAATACTGCTATCATGTCCCCCCTTGTCCTTCTCTTCGTTAAACTAGACATACCCAATTCTAGCAACCGTTCCTTATATGTTTTAGCCTCCAGTCCCCTAATCATCTTTGTTGCTCTTCTCTGCCCTCTTTCTAGAGTCTCAACATCTTTTTTACATCGTGGTGACCAAAACTGGATGCAGTATTCCAAGTGTGGCCTTACCAAGGCATTGAAGAGTGGTATTAATACTTCACGTGATCTTGATTCTATCCCTCTGTTAATGCAGCCTAGCACTGTGTTGGCCTTTTTGGCAGCTGCAGCACACTGCTGGCTCATATTTAAGTGATTGTCTACTAGGACTCCGAGGTCCCTCTCACAGTTACTACTATTGAGCATGGTGCCACCTATGCTGTACTTGTGTATTTGGTTTTTCTTGCCTAAATGTAGAACCTTGCTTTTTTCACCATTGAATTTCATTTTGTTAGTTAGTGCCCAGTGTTCAAGTCTGTCCAGATCCTTCTGTATCTTAAGCCTGTCTTCTGGAGTGTTGGCTATTCCTGCCAGCTTGGTGTCATCTGCAAATTTGATGAGTTCCCCATCTATCCCTTCATCCAAATCGTTGATGAAGATGTTGAAGAGTACTGGGCCCAGAACAGAGCCCTGGGGCACCCCACTACACACTTCTCTCCATATAGATGCAGTTCCATTGAGGACCACTCGCTGAGTATGGCCGGTCAGCCAGCTACGGATCCATCTGGTGGTGATTCTGTCTACCCCACATTTTTCTATCTTATCAAGTAGTAGGTTGTGATCTACTTTATCAAATACCTTACTGAAGTCCAAGTAAATTATGTCCACATAATTAGGGGTGACATGGTAGCAGTGCTTCAATATCTAAGGGATTGCCACAAAGAAGAGGGAGTGAACCTATTTTCCAAATCACCTGGAGGCAGGACAAGAAGCAATGGATGGAAACTAATCGAGGAGAGAAGCAACTTAGAACTAAGGAGAAATTTCCTGACAGTTAGAACAATTAATCAATGGAACAACTTGCCTCCAGAAGTTGTGAATGCTCCAACATTGGAAGTTTTTAAGAAGAGATTGGACAACCATTTGTCTGAAATGGTATAGGGTTTCCTGCCTGAAAAGGGAGTTGAACTAGAAGACCTCCAAGGTCTCTTCCAACTCTGTTATTCTGTATATCATAGAATAAATATTTTTTTCTAGGATTAAATTTAAAGCTTTTGTATGATATTTACATTTGAGCACTACTTCTACATTAGGAACTGCTCAATTGAATGAACTTTACCCCCATCATCAAGGTATTGCTGATCAACTATTATGTCCTTAAAGAATAAATCCTGCTGAAGATTTTAAAACTAAGAGAATACCATGCCCTTAATAAAGAGTACTTCAAATTCCATTATCACAACTAGATCCTCAAATGATTATGAAAAAGCCTTGTCAAGTAGCTGAAAATTGAGATAGGAGAGGGTCAAGTTATTGAAATCTTGAAACAGCTGTTCTTGACAGAGTATTCTGATGTGATGATATATAAGTCTATTATTACATTTACTTATTATTTGATTAGACAGGCTGTATGCTGCCTACTTTCTTAATGGTGTCAACTAATGCTATTATTAATTATATGATGTAAGTATAGATAGTGAGCTTCTGAACTTTTCAATTTATCCAAGTTATTGTGAAAGAACTTCTCATACTGTCCAAGGTAAACAGCTTGGTAATATATTGGATACTGCCAAACCAAAGAAGAGATGGCAACTATATTCTCAACTAAAAGAGAATACCTTCTAGACCCCTATGTAAAAGGAGCAAGAAAAAAGTGAAAAACAAACCATCAAAAACAAAACTTACAGATTGATTATTCTAAATAGAACATGTATTTTGTAGAATTCTTTTGTAATGGTCTTCACACATTTTTTCATATTAGTTTTAAGAAGTTCATGAATTCTTGTGAGCTTGCTTCATTAATTTCAACCTAGTCTGCTGAGATAATCATTTCGATAGAAATTACAGTTGGGGAATTTTTTTCTTCAAGTTTGTATTTCCTTTTTATTTATTTATTTTTATGAGGGTGCAGGGTCTATGATAATTGGTTTGATAATTTCAAAACGTTTATAACATTTTAGAATTTTTTTCACTATATAATAGCTTGTGTTAATGCAGGGGTCCCCAACCCCCAGGCCACAGCCTACTACCAGGCTGTGGCCTATTCACAACTGGGCCATGGGCCAGTGCACATGTGCACGCATGCAGCCCAACTCACATGAGCAATGGACCGGTGCACATGCACATGCGCACACAGCTCAACTTGCAGTGCAGGCCTGCTGTTCTCATGAATTAATATCCTTACTGATAATCATACATGATGCAGAAATATATTTATTACTGAAATTGAGGTGCTTAGGCTAAGATACCCAAGAAAAAGATGTAGAAACCATGTCTTAGGAAAACATCTCAAAGCTGGGTTGGTAAATATAAGAAAAAATGTGTGCTCGCATTAAAAGAATTTATAATGAGTTAATAGAATTGGATTCGGAAACAGAGTTAGTAAAAGATTGTATGATCAAATGGGCTCAGAATATTCAAGAACCGATCGTATTAGATGTATGGGAATTAATTTGGATCAGAAATGTTAAGTTTACGCAGACCCAAAGCTTGAGGGAAAATTTTTATAAAATGTTTTATAGATGGCATCTAGATCCTAAAAAGTTGTCTTGTATGTACCCAAACCTGCAACCTAAATGTTGGAGATGTGGTAGTCTTGATGCAACTTATTTTCATGTCTGGTGGTCTTGTAAAAATGTTAAAGCCTTTTGGATTATTATTTATTTTGGGTATTTTTGTGGATTTTGATGTTAATGAATCTATTTTAATGTTGAATTTAATAACAGCAGCAAGATTATTGGTGGGTCAATATTGGAAAAAAGACTCTCTGCCTTCTTTAGAAGAATGGGTATTTAAGGTTTCCAATCTTGCAGAAATGGCTAAGATTTCTGCTTATTTAAAGGACCATTTGCAAGAGAGATATGTTATTGTTTGGAGAAGATGGATAGAATATGTTCAGAAGAAATATGGAACTACAAAGTTTCATTTATTTTATGAGTAATAGATTTGTGTATAAAATTATGATGTTAAGGTTTGAAGAGAGTTAAGGGTTAATATGATTTTGGTTATTGTATAATTAGTAAATTTAAGTAGGTTATGTTAAATATATTTGTATAACCCTGTACTTAGCTCTGGGAAGTTGGGGGGGAGGGGGGTGGGGGGAGGGGGATGGGGGTAGGATAGTTTGGAGGTTAAATAGGTCAGATAAGTAGAATGAGTTTTATTGTATATATTATGCATGTTTCAATTTGGAGAGAGGAATTGCCCGGGCATTTCCCCAGGACAGCATCCAAAGTGGGAGAGTAAGAAGGGTAGAAGCAAGTAGAATGGTTGAGGAGAAGTTGGAGGAGAGGAGGAGGGTAAAGAATAAGAGCGAGGTAGAGGAAAGTGAGAGAAGAAGATAGAGGGTGGATGCTATTTGGGGGGAGATGGGTGGGCAATTCCGGAAGTGGTGTGTATAAATTTATTTTATTCTTTATCTGAAATTTTTATGATGATATTGAATGTAATGAAAAATTGAAAATAAAAAAAAATTGCAATAAAAAAAAGAAAAGAAAAAATACCACAGAACCACAACTATTTTAATTTACTGACTGGGAAAAGACAATAAAAATAAAACTGTAGCAGAACGTGCAGATTCAGCCATAGTTTCATTCCATACAGCATTAACCTTGTTAACTCTCAAGCTTCCTCCTTCCATTATATATTCAAGATGGACAGTATTTAATATTTATTTCTCATGTATATGTAGGGTTGTGGGTGTATACTTATGTTGTATATAGTATGTTTAGGTGTGTGTCATGTATGTGTTTCACTTTGAAAGCAGGCAAGTAAATTTCATTTTTGATATGTGCTGTTGTGCTCACAGTAAAAAAAAATGACAATAAAGGTTACCTTATCTTATCTTATTTAGAAAATGTAATTTCATCCATATTGATGTCAAAAATCATGAAAAAAAGGACTTACATGGTATATATTTCTAACAAGTTTGTGACCTCAAGGAGTCAGTAACTATATTTTTCAAAAATTGGGCATCCAAAGTACCACATAAGTGACTTTAATATGCAAGGAAGGCTTTGATGAACAAAAGTATTTCTCTAGTGACTGGATCCCAGTTTACATTAAAAATATACATTCACATTGGGTGTAACCAAGTAATTAATCTACGGTAGGTAGCAGATTTTTAATTTTGAAATACTCAGGTTTTAAAGAATGAAGTGTACAATGACATTTTAGTGATGATCTGTCATAATTTCATATTGCTTGATACATACAAACTGAAAACAAACTTCCTCCATAAGAAAAAAATGTATTAGTAATAATTAAAAACACCTGCAACCTCGCTCACCATAAATCATTTTATACCAGGTTTGAAAATTGGTCTGTCAAAGCAATGATGCAATTTCCTGCATTGGCAAACCTCTTTCAGTACAAGAAAAGCAATCCACTGAGTGACCAATTATTGTGCCACTTAATCTTTAAAGTGCACAAAAACAAGCCAGAAAGGTACAGCACATCAGATATCAGCAGCAAACAATTTTGAACAATTTGCTGTCAAGGGAAGGAAGGAAAACAACAAAAGATTCCAGAAAAGGTTCAATAAGCAAGGGCACACTGTTTCTGAAACCACAAAGAAGGTGTTACATTCAAACAGCAGAAAAAAAATTGTTGTTTCTTAGCCTGTCAGGTATTAATATGTTTTCTTTTTCATATGCAAAAGTTTATTAATTGTTTTTTAAAAATGCAAATTTTGAAAAAGAAAAAGAAAGTAATAAGTAAAAAGGTACAAATAAAGAAATAAAGAAGAAGAAAAGAGGAGAAGAGAAGAAAAAAGAAAAGAGAAATGGCTTCCACTCTTCTTAACAGCAGTTATAAGTACATTTGAATTTACCCTCTCTCTCTGTAAGGCTACAAAATAATCTCCTTCTTTCTATAGTCTATGCTTTCTAATCATCAAACTCATAAATAAGAATTTCATTCTTTTCTCGTTTCAGGAAAAAGTTCATAAAGGATTTCTAGTCACTAATACGTCATTGTCTTTCCTCTAATCAAACAAGTCAATTTTTCCATCTCTGCTAATTCTGTCATCTTCCCCAGCCATTCCTCCATAGTGGATATATCAGAATCTTTTTTTTTCATTTTTGTGCATATAATAATATCACAGCAGTTATCAATTCAGACGTTAATGTATTTTCAAGCCAATCTTAAAAACCATACACAGAATCAACAACGTCCAAGATTTTTAATATATGGTCAAGACTTACTGTGGAATAAAGAGAAGAAGTGCTGGAAACTAGTGATAATGAGGATCCATGTACTAAAACAGAAACACCAAAGTTGGTATTAGAATAACATTGATAAAGCAATAGGAGGGAGTCAAATTCAATGACAGAACAACTCTTTTTAAATTTGAGCAATTGTCTCCAAAGAGAAAACTATTACAGAAATTGCCTGTTTAGAAATATATTTTTATTCCACACAATGATTTTTCTATGCTTAAAAAAACACTTGTACACAGAGACTTTAGTAATACATTGCAGTTTTGCTAGTAAACAACATCATCATTTATTTTGCTCTGATAGGAGAACAGAATGTCACCTTTAGTAAAGCAATTTTTGGTACAGCAAATACAGAAAATGTCAATTGTTGAATGGACTCTACATTTCATGGAAGATAAAAGTTGTTATTGCTAGGTGGGCAGCTTCCATTGTAAATGAGATGGATTCCATTTGAAAAGTATCACTTTGATAACACACCCCAGCATATGAAAATAATTTTAACTTGCATGTGGAGCTTAGGATAAAATGAGACATAGCAATCACACTTAGCAATTAGTATTTTTAAAAAGTAAATATCAAAAATTCAGATGAGAACTTTGTTGGATTAAAAATTTGGTCCAGGTTGGAATTATTGCAGAACAGAGAGGGATATAACCCTTCTCATCTCACTGAACCCTAGTTTATACTGAATTCCTATGCCTGTTATTTATTTCAGAGAAAAAAAGCATCCATTGGTGTGAATTTTTTGCAATGCAAATAGCAACTGTTGAGGCCCATAATAGCTATAATAGGAGCATAGGGTTGCTCTTATTGCAAGTTGCCTTGCTCTTTTAACCCAGAGTGTTGCTAATTTTTTGCACACTGTTAGGCCTCTATGAAACAAAGTCACTTGGGTCATTGAAGTGATGTGATTTTTAAGTTTTGTTATCATTAGTATAAATGCTAGCCAATTCATTTTGCTGAAAACACAGAACAAAATGAGCTTGGATTGCTGCAGGTGCCAGAATCGAGTGCTTATTAAATTTGGGGTCCTGCCAGATCTATACAGAAAAACAGAAAGAACACCTTAATGTAAACAAAAACAATATTTTGTATAATCATGCAATGTGTGTATAAGGAATCAGCACTTATAATGAGGAAATCAGGTTGATGAGCATCAGGTTGATGAATATAATACAGATTGATTTCATTTTAAATGATTTTGATTTGATTAAAAGTCTTCAGCAACTTTGTAACAGGTGTGATTATGAATAACTGTCCAAGGAACAATCAGAAAAGATAAATATATAATTGCTGCAACTTAACAAAGGAAAGTGATGAAATAATGAAAATATTCATGAAAGACAGAATAGGCCTATTGTATTTAAGAATGTATTGATTGTAATTATTGGTAAACTAAACTTAAGAGTATTGCTGTTTCCAAAGGCTATTGAACAATGAAAATAAGAGTGACTTCCAAGCAGATAGGAAACAAACAAAAAATGCTTAAACTCTGAGTAATACATCAATTGTTCATTCTACATTGCTTCTCATCCTCTTACCTTCTTCCATGCTATCTCTGAATGAACCAGAATGACTAATTGCACGTGGTCTGTCCTCTAAGGATGTAGCACTACCACACAGCTGAGAATCATCATAGAGATCAAAAGAAGAGTCTTGTGCAGGGTTGCTGTTTGACCTCATCATACTAGGTCCAGGAAGTTTGAACTGGGATAAATTTGTTGGACTTACTGCAATATCAAACAAAAAAAATTAATAAGTTTGTGTGAAATGCTATGTATATTCTAGACAAAATCTATTGAATGAAGTGACATATTGGCTATCTTTTATAAACAATTAAAACAATTTCTAGGATAAATTTAACTTCATGGTTAGTATAGTATAGATTGTGGCTTTAGGGTCAAATGTGGCTTCACATTTTTAGACATAGTTCCAGAGGTTCTTAACAAAATCTATTTTTTTCAGAATTAAATGGTAAAGTATTAAATGAGGAACTATATTACTTATAAGTAATTTTAATTACATATAAAAGTAAATAAAATTTAATTTTTTTATGAGCCATTTACAAGTAAACCTCTTGGACTAGGCAAAGTTGTACATATCTGACAATTTTTTCTTAGTTATAGTTATCTAATATACAAAATGTATTTATATCCTAAATAGATGGCATTTGATAATTCCACGATACAGAGCTGTTTTTAGCTAGGATTTGAAATATGTACTTCTTTCTTTTCCTTCCTCCCTCACACAATTATTGTTTGAAAGGTTGGTTTCCAAGGATCTTAAGAGGAAGAACATTGATCCTGTTAATGCAGTGATTCTCAACCTTTCTAATGCCGTGACCCCATAATACAGTTCCCCATGTTGTGGTGACCCCCAAGTGGGTGTGGCCACCAATAAGAGGGAGTAGAACAGCTAGGGAAAAGGGAAAAAAATGGCGGACAGCATGGTTTGGCGACCCCTGTGAAATGGTCATTCGACCCCAAATGGGGTCCCGACCCACAGGTTGAGAACCACTGTGTTAATGTTTCTTTAGAGAAAACAAATTTATCATTGTTTTTCACACTGGGTCACATAATTTGTTAAAACAAGCCACTTTTACCAGTGTTTGCTTTGGAATATATAGCTAAAACATTTCTGAAAGGCTCAACTTATGGGAAAATGACACACAGATAGGTGAAAGAGAAAATTTTGCAAAAAACAGCAGAATCTGTAACTAACATGATAAAACTTAATCTGGAAACACATATGAATTTCTTTTGCCAAATTAATGGAGAATATTACTATGAAAAAATAGAATAAAATAACAGTGCAAATTATTTCTTCTTACCTAAATTAGAGAAATATTTGCCAGTTGCAGAGGAAGACATAGCTGTAGGCGATACCAGGGGAGACTGATTTCCAGTGTCTTGGAGCCCTCCAGTAGAATGTGAACGCAGCCACTCTTTCCCTTCCTCTTGACCAGCCTGACGAGAAGATGGAGTATACCTGAAACAGATGACCATGGACAAATGAAAAATATTCACACGCTGTATGCAACTAAATTGCAACAATACCTACCTAAAGATTAGAGACAATTAGCAAATATCATCTTCAGGTTAGATGATTTTTAATAGAATATTTGAGGTAAATATAACCCAAGAAAAAGACAGACAAATCATTAACAGAGAGACAATTGACATCTAACAAAAAATCATGCAGAGCACATTGTTCAGAAAACATTTTAAAACTTTAGAACAGAATCTGACTTCAAGCATAATGACATATTTAAAAAATAATTGGTGGTGAAAAGAGAACAGTGTTCAGTTCTTGTATAATGATTGCTAGAAGGGCAAAAATGTACAGATAAAGTTGAAAACAATGAGAATAAAACAACTATAAAAAGAAATGATTTGGGTTTGTTAGTGACATTTGATGGGGCATGTTATGGAAAAAAATGCATTATTGGTCCACAGAGTGATCCTGGGAAACCAATCTACCACTAAATGGATCGATATAAGAGGTGAAAAAGACGTAATGTCCCAAAGAGTTTTCAAGATTGCTGCCAAGGACAAACATGTATCTCCAACAGTATAATAACAGCCCACATTGTGACAAAAGCTTAGAAAGTGTTCGGTGATGTACAATGGCTAATAAGTACATAAGGTACTTAGGTAGTCAGATTGCAATGTAGTGCTTACGTTTCATACACAATCAAATATCTTGCAAATTTAAAAATATTAAGATTTTAAAAACCAGTGCTGTGATTTTCCCAAAGCCTATTTTTAAAACTAGACTTTGCATCTGCTGTCTTTTGCCTGCACATAAAGCTTGTTCTTGCTGTAATAATCAGATCCGTTTCTGCATATATGTGGAAACAGACTGTTGGACTGCTAGAGTTTGATAAAACTTGATCCATGAGTAGGGACAAAGTTTGGTGAGGTGGTATATTTAGATAACCAAATAGGATTGATGCTATTTTTCCACTCTCAAATCTACTTGAGATTTACTAAGCTCAACTGATTATTACTTAATAATATGCATCCCCCCCAAAAAAATATTTTATTGCAATCTAATATTTCAGTTACTTGACAGTATGCTGCTAATGCTGGTCTTGAGGTCAGATTTTAACTGACTGATAGCCAAGAACAAGGAACACATCATATATACTGGCCCTGATAATTTTCACAGGAATTGACTATTTTTCTTTAACAGAATTGAAGATAATATCTTCAGATGAAGAAAAAGAAAGATGGCAAAACTCTCCCCCTGGATTCTAGAAGACGTAATACACATTCTGCCAATTAGAGCATAATTATTTTCAATAAGCAAAAGTGTAGGTGCAACTGTAACCGATTCACCAGTCTCCTTGGAAAATCTTCAAGAGCCTGGCAATTCACTGAAATATAGCTCCACTACAGTAGAAGAATGTTGTATCCTTTCCACTGAAAATATTATTACTGAAAACTTTGGGAAACTAAGCAATAGTTCTTTCTCTCTGAGAGTCAGTTTAAAGCCAGAAGTAAAGTAAGACTGTAGAATTCAATAATCAGGACAATTGTGGTAGTAAATGGTTACTTTTAATTTGAATAAGAAATCAATTTGTAAGGAATCAATCTGTAAAGAACAGAAAACTATGAGCAGTGGGAAGTTATGTCTTTAAAGTGACATTTGAAACAAACTCTGGGTTCTTGTTTCAGATGAATTTGAGGAATCAGTGAAATTGTTTTGATCAAACAAATTGCATTTTTAGTTTGTTGTATATTAGGAAGGTAGACTCTAGATCAGAAATAGGACCTGCCCAGTGAATGTGTAAAGCTGTGGAAGAACACTTGATGTATATTTGCATACCATTGATGGTAAAAGGACCATACTTTGACAATTACTGACTTAAATTGTCAGAGGATACCACCCAAAGCAAAATTTGAAACTTAGCTGGAAGTTCCTGTGAAACAATTGAGTAATTCTGGGGGGGAGAGAGAAAAATTTTCAGCTATGAAAATCTATTAGGTAAATATAGAGGTTATTATTACAAGTGCTAAGGATGCAGCCTACAAATTATTCTTATTCTTCTCATTGTCAAAGAGAGAAAATATTTTAACTTTTTAAAAACCTAATTTCTAAACATAAATGGAAGTACTATTAGTTGTTCATTACAGCTTACACAATAATAAGAAAAGGTTGATGTATTATAGAGAGAAGTTACAGAATAAAAAAACAGCAGTCATGCTGAATAAAATATTATATACCTTAATCCCTTTTTGGGCAGTGTATTTCTGTCAAGCTGCATGCTGTTAAAACAAAGAAAACCCCTAAAGACATAAAGTAAACAGAATACTTTAAAATTAAAAGGTCTAAAAAGGTCTGAACTTGCAGATACTGTATTTTAGAAAAACTATTTTTAATGGAAAATGTCATATCTGTAAATGAGGTGCGCAATACTATACAAAAATTATCCTTCACTTTTCAGTAACAATGGTCTATTCTTACATTTTTACAATGTTGAAATCATATTGCTATATCTAGCTTTAGTTGTTATCTAATTCAGATTCTTATATTCTTTGGGAGGGATGTCTGGATAATACAGATGGCATAATTGTCTGATTACAATTCATTGTGCTAATGTGATTTCTTTCCATAAGCATTAGTCTAATATCTAAGTCAAGACTTTTCAAAAGGCAAGTTTGTTCACAAGATGTAACTGCATAAAATGCCTAACATATCTTGCTATTTCCAATTCTCATGAAATTTGAAGATAGAAAATGACTGAAAGTTTACAATACGACTCTGCAAATGTACTTGTGTTGACAGGATAGCCTAAACAAATGAACTCAGTTACGATTTTAATGTAAGCTCAGAATGGCTAATTTTTTCTGAATCTAGATTTCTTTTCTCTCTAGATCTGCATTTGAAAACCAAGATCATAGATAACACTAAGAATTAGGTTGAAAATTGAACACTAATCATGTGGAAAGGTCATAATTTTTGTTGCAATGAATTTTCTAACTAATGAACAAATCAATCAATATTTTTTGAAAAAGCTAAACCTCCTATAGAAAACAAAAATAAATATTTACTGAAAACAATAATCTAGACTTTTATTAAAATGCCATAGATTTTTCTTATGTTTTAACATTAAATTGTTTCTAACAGCTTACAGTTTTAATTTATAAAAACAATTTAAAAAATAATGTCAGTGTATTTTTTTCAAAACACACTATAATGTAGAACTTTATTCCTAGTATCTAATGTGGTAGGTAAAGTATCTGCTTTTTTGGATTTCCTGACATAAGAAATAAAAAAAACCTACCTTTTTCTTGCTAAAAAAACAAACAAAACCAACTGTCTGTCATCATGTAAATGCAAGTAAAGCTTTCCTTATACTTGAACAGCCCCCTTTTTATGCTGAAAATAAATTATTTGGAATTATAGTTCCCATATAAAAAAATGAATCTGTTGGATTACTGTGGTATCCTTAGTGCCAGACTTGGTTTGACAGTGCAAAGACAAATTGACAAATGAAATAATAAAATCTGTATCCTGAGCTGTGGACCACTTCACAATGTATATGAAAAATAACTAAATAAATCATATTTGTATTTTACTTGAACAGAAATGAACAAGTGACCACTAAATCTGAGGACCTGTCTGTCAAGACACAAACTTCTCCCTATGGCCTAATGCTACACCTTTTTCTTGATAACATGAGAGTAAAGGATCAAGGACTGCACTTAACATTTGGAGGGAACCCCCCCCAAAAGGGGTGGAGCCAGATAAAAAATGAGAGAAGGTGTTTGCAAAAAGTAATGGCCTGGATGGACATAGAAGCCATAATCTGTACATGTACTTAGTTCATTATTGACCAATATTTGGCCTAGGGTATGAATGCCAATGTCCTATTTAAATTTTCAGTGGAAAGATTGGAAAGGGAGAGGAACTTTGTAGAGATGGAGGATTGTCCCTATGTATTTATTAAGAGAAGATGTAGCATAACACATATGGCAGATCTTCACAAAGAATAGGGTCAAAAGTTAGCCAAAAAGTATCTTTTAATATTGACTGCAGGTCTTGCCCAGAGCCCGTCTTGGTGGGGGAAAAAAGCATACCAAGCTCAAGGCTTCAATTAATCAGCAAGGTATAAGGGCAAGTACCACAGGAAGACATACAGGAATTAACACATCCATAATCCTAAAGCATTTAGATGACATAAAACCTGGCCCTGTAGAAAGAGGAAAACCTGCAGAGATGCCAGGGCAATCCTCTGTAGCAAAACCAAGGAGTTCAAGAAAGATCTGAAAGGAGATAGATCACAACTCTGATCACTAGGACTGGCTGAAAGAAAATTTTAATTAAATAAATTTGCTACATTGGGAATGTCTTTTACAAAATCAAAAGGGTGGGTCTCAAACAGTTAATTGTGTCCATTAAATTTTAATGGTGCATCTTATGTTCATGATCCTAAAATGGACATTAAAAGGATACAACTAAAAAAAGATCCTTTTTTCGTTGATTGGATATGATCGAAATATGACTATTAAAAATATTTACTATAGCATCTTATTAGTTTATTTATTTAACAAATTTATATAGCTGCCCAACTCATAAAACATGACTTGGGTGGCAACTTCTTAGTAAAAGATACCATATTGCACCAGATACGTCACAAATACAACAAGGCAAGGCAGGTGTTGGGAAAAAAAATAAGACATTCACTGAAAATAAGACCTACTGCCTCTTTTGGAGGCAAAAAAATATACGACTGGGTCTTATTTTGGGGGAAACACGGTATAAAATTAACACTATTCATAGTTAAAATTAAACAATTTTGAGGTTTGGGCAGTGTGTAGTTATCTTAAAAGGAGACTTTCTAGAGAAATCTTCAGAGAAGAGGAAAGAGATTACTTATATCATGCTACGCCACAGTCAGAAGACAGCCATTTTGTAGATTCTGCCCAAATTCCATGCATTAATATAAAGTAAACTATAATTTATTAAGCACAATTATACTGTTACATATAATATACATTGGCCGGGTTAAACTACTTGAGATTATTCTCTTTTTGCAATTTTGAGAATGATCTAAGCAAATGAAGGAAGCCATGGCAACTATTCATTTTATTAATGTCATCACTATTTTCTAAATGTTTCCCAAGTATCTTAATTCCAAACAATCATAATTTAATAGATTCTATAGAAAGACTCTATTGAATGAAATAAAGAATTCTTAGGCTTTTTTCAATCCTTAAGTTTTTCAGAGTGTCCACTTGCCCCCAACCTCAATTATGACTATCTCTCTCTCTCTATGATTAACTCACCTTTCTGAAAGAGTAGATCTGACACTTCCAGTCCTTATGAGCAGGCTCTGAACCTCTTGAGTGCTTGTGGTCAATCCAGAGAGAGAGCCATGATGACTAAGAGGGAGATCAATAGATTCAGAGCTGGTGTGGAGGCTAGTCATTGACTGGTAACTTGGTGTATCCTTACTACCAGCAGAAGAACTACTCAGGTTTGCAGCCCAGACAAGACCACCTGATGTGAAAGAATGGGCTGAAGCTGGACTTGAAGCCAAGGAGTGACTTAGGCCTACAACATCTGTATTTAAGTCCGAGGGCTTATTGAAGAGGGGGCTACTGCTTCCACTCTGCCCACCTGCACTGCCCATGCTACCTGTACCTGAAGATGGAGATTCCAGACTGCCTTGCCGAGCTAATGTGGTACTAGGGCTGGGCATGGCAGATGTAGGTTTCACGCCTTCTGTATTTGGTGGGGTGGCAGCTTTGCCGCTGGCTTTGGCACCAAACAACCTAGAAGCAAATCAACAACCTAAATGTTAGAAACCAAAGCTTCACATCATAATATCTGAAATATTAGCATATGGATACAGCTAGCTCAATTTACTTCTACATTTCTTATAAGAAAATCCATTTTGACTATGCATTATTAGATGTCATTTAAAAAATAATAATTCAAGAGCACTCATTCAAGCTTTGTCCTTTAAGAAATATGGATCTTCTCATAGAGAAAATAAATTCAACTATCTCTCTTTATGTAGATGCCTAAAAAGATTAAATGTTCATCAAACCCAACAAGCATTTCAAAAGCTTAATCAGAAAATATTTTAACAATTAAAGTATTATGGCATGATTATGGACAGCCAACAAATCAATATTTATCTCAAATCTCAAATTAGATGCAAAATGCTAAATTCAGTTTCTTTCCATATGTATCTATGTATATGTATGAAAGTTATTTTTATTTATCTCATTAAATTTTTCTACAAGTCCACTCCAGCAGTCTCCAACAGAAGAAAATAGATTTCTTTTGTAAACTGCAGAAAATTGCATTTCTAAAAGATCTAAAATAGTCCACACTTCTATAAATTCTGCAGGAAGGCTTTTCTAAATTTACAGTTTATTGAATGGCAAGGGAAAAACAATAAACATTCTATTTATTTATACTGTAATAAAAGCCACAGTGGTAAGCAATTCCTAAGTAAAATGTTGTATTACTGACTGGCCACAAGAGGGTAGTCCCAGCTTTCTTTCAAGATATTTGTGTTTTTTGATAGAACAATTTGTCTTGATTCTTGAGTCAGGCTTTAATATCCAGAAGTTGCCAATATGATTTAAAATTTTTATTCTTATTTTTTGGAGAACATTTCTAATGAAAACACTGCTGTTTCAAAAATCTCCAAATCAAGGCGGGCTGCATATTTTTGCATAATCTGCAACATAATGGAATGATTAAAGATAAGGAACATCATACTTAGATACCTCAGACATCTGCCGTGGTTTCTACAAAACTCTCTCCCTACCTTACTAATATATGCTTTAAATTACATTAGTTTTCTTAAAACAGAAGTTTAGGGTGAAAGTACTAGACCAGGGGTGTCAAACTCAATTTCACTGAGGGCCGCATCAGCATTGTGGTTGACCTGAGAGTGTGGGGGTGTGTGGCCAGAGTGGGTGCAACCTACTGTGTGGGTGTGGATGGAGTGGGTGTGGCCTACTGGCTGGGCATGGTCAGTTCTACATCATTCACATCAAGGCTGCCTATGGGGGCCTGGTCCACCAGGGCAAATGTTAAGATGGCCACCACAAAATTGTACATTGGCTCCTGGCTGGCCTGGGCCAGGGCCAAGGCAGTGGGGGTCGTTCCCTCACTGTTTCCAGGATGGCTTTGCGGGCCACATGAAACCACTTTGCGGGCCGTATCTGGCCCCCAGGCCTTGTGTTTGACATGTCTGTACTAGACTAACCTTCAGTTTTTTAGGTTATGAAATTGCAACTCTACCATATATGGGATCCTTAATACTATGCTATTCCTAATCAGTTATCAGCCATCCAGAAGCAAGTAAAAGCAGGCTTCCACTTATGTTTTCTTGATTAGATGAGGAAAGCATTTATATAGATAACTATTCTATAGTAGATTTCACCAATTAAATTATGTTGGTACAAGTCTTCTCCTGTTCTGTTAGGCATCCTAAATTGCAACAGCTGTTTATAGACACTCTCTTATATTTTTCTGTTCACTGAACATGTGATGAGCATTTCATAGTTTCCCAAAAAATTGATTGCAACTATTTGTAGATGTCAGACCAACTTTCAACCTAACTGGAAGTTCCAAAATTATTTTGTTAGTCAATATTTCATTTTAAATGTTACAGAGATATAAGTTGGGAGTCATAGTTTCACTCCCTCTGTAAGGAAAATGGGTGGTTTCAAAATTTGATAAATAAGTAAAATAAAAATAGTTTGCCTAAGTTTTCAACATATTTCACAGCAAAGCTATAATTGCTGTAGTGTATGAAGTAGCATAATTCTCCAAGGATCTCAAAGGAAGCTAGCTCCATAATAGAGCTGTAGAATATCATCTTTTCTGAGAGGATGCAAGAATCACAATAATTTTCATATAAAACATTTTACCTTCTAAATGTAGGTGAGGCAATATCTGGATATTTTGAACCTGGTTGTCTGAGACTTGGTGTTCCACAGGCACTAGCTGACGTTGGACTTGATTTGGGAGAACCAGACAAGGATACACTCTCAGAATCAGATATTGTCACTTTTTCTTTTTCTTTGTCCATCTGGTTGATGGTTACAGGACTAGATCGTCCTGAGCCAATCTTTGTAGGTTCCCTCAATTTGTTGGTGGCAGCAGCACCAGCAGACTTGCTGCTGACATTAGAGTCAATGCTGCTGGTGCTAGATCTGTGTCCACCTCGGCCAGGAATCCCACTTGTGCTTGATTTTGAAGGACGTGGTAAACTTCGATACTGCAAAGTGGTCTTTGAACTCATATGTAAGACACCATCTTCTTGATTCTGAGAACCATCGAGACTGGTCTTTCTCCCTGCACTTGACTTTCCACCAATGGCTGCAGATTTAGGCATCTTCCCCAAAGTTGCCGAGCCACTTGTTATGGTTGCTCCACTTGCAGTGATTATTGTTGAAGAGCTGACCCCAGTTTTCTTGAAACCAAAGGAACCTGTGGCTGTTGATCGGCCAATTCCAGAAGGAGGTTTTTTCCCTTCATCTCCACTGCTTTTTCCTGCATCTGAAGGGGAACGCTGGATGGAAGCTCCTTTCAGGGGAGTTTTTACTTTTTCAGAAGCTTTGGCATCATCTGTTTTTCCTAAAGAAGAGCACAATTGCTGCAGAAATCCATGTCTAGTAGATTTCAGATTTTCAGTAATATATATAAAGAGCAGAGGCCCATATGGCCTTTCAAATGCTGCAAAACACATCTTTTGAAGGGTTTGCACACTACCTTCACCTTTCTCAAGGAAAAGGCTATAACTGGGCAGTAAACAACATGCCAGGGGAAGGTTGAGGGGAGTACAAAGTTTCCATTTGAAGATATTCATAGGGAAATAGCCAGACACATTGGAGTCTTGACTTCTGAATGGAGAGGGAGACCCAATAATTGACAAGGAAGGATGAAAGGAGAGTTCACTCTCATGGAAAACCCATCTACCCATCCCACAACTGCAAAGGAAATATGGCAATATTATACTCTATCATTATTCCCTACCAAATACTTCTGAACTATTGTTTAAGTGATACGCTTCAGTTATATAAATTATCTGTTTAATAAATCTAATATTACAGTATTGCTGGTTTTCTATACCCAGGAGCTAAACATGGAGTTTCCCCATCTATTGAAATTAACTAAGGCAACTTAGGAAACTACTGGTCTTACATGAAACACTTTCAATGCCTTTCCTACCAGATGTTTTGATAGTACTTCCTCCTGCTTTGTGCCTAGATGATGTTGCTCCTACTTGTGCAGTCATGCCTCTTCTCCAAGAGCCTGTCTGAGAGATGGGAAGAGAGCCTTTTTGCCCTCCTTTCTCAGCCTCCTCAAGCAATCCAGGAGGATGGCTCCTCCACTTGCCACTGTTGTCAAGATTACTCTCAAGATCTTCCTCTGGCTTCTTCAGTTCTTCACTGCTCCCCCAAGGTTCTCCATCAGTTACTGAACGTTTTTCAGAATCTGTCTTCAGCTACCAAAAATAAATATCATGAAATGAAATTAATTGAGGAAGAGTTTTTATTTCAATCAGTGCAGCCTGAGAGTACACGCTATTATTTACTTAATGTCTTACCCTCAAAATGCTGATCACCCTACTTTGACTGTTTTTATGGAAATGGTATTTGTACTGTATAACTGGTGCTAAGTACATTAACCTAGCATTGAGAGTGACTAATAATAGATAACAAAAAATAATGCTGATTCTTGAGATTGTTTTCTTCATTACACCTAAGAATAGGAGGATCGTATATTTAATTAGCAGGTGAGCTTCACATTCAAATTGTGAAAGATTTTCCATTTGCCTACAAAACTGTCAGTACTGCAATAAGTGGCTTGACAGGAACATGATTCTTAACTGACAAGCCATGTGATTGGGGATAAATGTGTTTACTCAGAGATTAGTTGTTATTTCACATTCTGTTTATAACCAAGAATGTGATATGCTCAGAAAGGACTCTGCTACATCTTTAAGCCTCAATCTTGCCTCCATATGCAGCACAGAACTTTGCCTTGGGTTGTTGAAAACACCGTGCTGTGATCAATAGAAAATGTAATCATGTCATTAAACTCCAACAGTGTTTGTGACTCTCTTGATGGGATAGTTATACTTTTTTTTTTTTTTTGCATAGGAAGATCATGCACAGAAGGTGACCCTTTATTTCTTTGATTCAATTAATTGTTTCATTATGGTTTTATGACATGGCTATACCAGAAGCTCTAATTATAATGATAACATGTTAGAATAGATTTAGGACTATTACAATTCCAACAAAGAAAACACTAAGAAAACCAAAGAAATAAACTGCACCACTCCACTCCCAAAACATTCTAGTAAAGAATTTATGTGTTTAACAAGTATGTTAAGAAAAAGTGACAAAGCATCCAAGTGGCTGTCTGGATTAAATATCCTATCCCAGCCAGAAAATTAAGAGACCTATATGGGTAGGTATATTTTTTTCTTGAAGAAGCAATACTGTTAGAATAAGAACTGACCGATGATGTAGTATTGAGGTCATCTGTACTGATGTTATCCAAAGTATCACTGAGGCCACTGCTAACGGAACTGCTATCATCCCAACTGTTGGAGATAAAAACAATAAAGAAAAAAAGAAATTGATATCTCATCTATTCTCCCCAGAAACTGAAATTCGCTGAGATAATTGATTTCATGGGTTGTTTACTCATTAAAAATATTGCTAAATACGCTAAATATGAACTTTAGTAATCCATGTATTGCTAAAAAGGCTTTATTGTAAATAATTTACTGAAATATGCAGTTTCTATCTTTATCAAGACCTAGTATAAATGTCCACAGTAGGCTGATTCCTAGTTTATTGGACTCATATTCTCTATGATATCAAGAAAGTTGCATTAAATCAATCTTGGATTCTGGCTTAAATTTTATTACAGTATTAGTTTAGATTATTTCAAGACTTTCCCAGAAAATGGTGTGGGTTAATGTTAGGTTGGTTATTCTTCAAAGAAATAAACATAAATTAAATAAGATTCAAAGAATATAAAACTGTGCTACTTTGAGTCTTCTCTGAAAGAGCAGTGAAAGTGAAAATAATATCAGTAGTAACATATTATTTTCATTCCACCATAGTTCTCTTTGCTTGATATAAGTTAACATAAATTAGGAAGTATGCTTGATATAAGTAAACATAAATTAACATAGCACTATTCAATATCTTGCCATATGGGTTTCAATCCCATATTTCATCTTGCTTTCTATGATCTTTTGACATTTGCCTAAAACTGGCAGGAATAGTTTTCAGTAATCTATAATCAAGGTAGACTTCTTCATGACCAGCATTATTGTTGTTCTTTGTCTATGGTGGTTTGTGATGGAAATTATAACCCAGGACATCTGCAGAACATCAAACAGGAGAAGGCAAATGATCATTTGAAAATCTAATCTTGAGGATTTAATATAATCTAGAATTTCTTAAGAAGAACCACGGGGCATTGTTGCCTTTGGAATTCTTGATTAACACTACAATATGCACTTCAAGGTGATACTTTTATCTAAAAAGATGAACTGACTAAGAATAAAGAGCAAGAATCCGATAAGCATTGATAAAAATATAGAAATAAATCAAATGCTAATAAATTAAGAAAAGATGATGAACTGAATGAAGCAAAGAACCTTAATCTAATCCAGAAGAAAAAGAAAGCTGTTGGCAGACATCCAAAAGTGTTTTTCCAAAAGGCAACTGGACTTTCTTGAAAAAGTCCAGTTGCCTTTTGGAAAAGCACCTGTGGGACAACCATGACCTGGATGATTGAGAATCCCCATAGACATGTTATCAGATATATATTTTCAGATTATCAACCTGTATTGGACATAACTGAATTCTCTTAAAAAATCAGGTTTGCTCCTGAAAGCCCAGTTCTCCAGCATGATTGGATGGAGAACCCACGGATGGGTTGTCTTAATCTATCTGCTCCAATTAGACTAAGTCTGAAATTTAGTACCGCCCCCTCTGTGCCAACTGCATCCCAGTTTTAGACTTAGTCTCTTTGCCCCAAGACGCGTTTTGTCTTCGCTCCTGGAGCAGAAGACTGTTTAATTCTATTTAATTACTTAGCTCAGGCTATTATTATTATTTGTTATTTTATTATTGATTCAGAATCGATTATATCTAGAAGAAAGATCAATTATCCCAGTCTGAAGCCTATTCAGGCTGACAGACTCACAATCCTCTCCCTCTGGGGGGGGGAACTTTTCCCTTCTTTGTTTTCTCTCAGTTAGGGACAGCAAGATCAAACCTTTGATTTAGGTCGTTTTCAGAGCCTCATCAAGCCTGGAGGGAGCCTTCCCAGGTCCCTCGGCCCCAGCAGAGAGCAGCAAGTGAGAATTTGGGCGCGGCCCAATTTTCGGAGCTGGGAGGGCCTGTCAGGCCTTGGACGACAGCCTTTCCAGCCGGCCTAATCACATGCCACCAGCTGCTTTAGGAGCCCAGGCGATTCACCCGAACGAGGGCTCGTTGCAGCTTAGACCCTAGGCCTCAAGGCCTTCTTCCAACGGCCGTTTTTTAGGGCGCGAAATTGGCGGCCGCCATTTTGAATTGCCTCCCGGCGGCCATTTTGGGTGTGGCTGAAGCCCCCGGTGGCCATTTTGTATGTGGTTGAGGCCCTCGGCGGCCATTTTGTGAGTGGCGGAAGTCACCGGTGGCCATTTTGTGTGGGGCTGAAGCCTCGGCGGCCATTTTGAGTGTGCCTGAAGTCATCGGCGGCCATTTTGTGTGTGACTGAAGCCCTCGGAGGCCCTTTTGTGCGTGGCAAAAGCCCTTGGCGGCCATTTTGTGTGTGGCTGAGGCCCAGACTGCCTGGAACTTTCTTCTGAAGGCAGTATTACATCATCGGTGGCAGGATCGTCGAGAGAGCAGGTTCGACCGGGGAGGGCCTGATCGATCCTAAGTGATCGGGGTGCCCATTAACTCCCCGCCCACCCCCTTTTGGGCTGAAGTATCTCTGTAGACTCCCTTGGTGAAGTACAGCGCCGAGGGGGGGCGTTTTGCCAAGGTTGAGACCAGAGCAACTCATCATGACAGAGAAAGGCAGCGAGCCGGCCAAGAGGAGTCGCCAATCAGAGGCAAGTGGTAAGAGCACCACCAAGCGAGCCCGGCCAAGCAGGGAGCCACAGAGGGAGGAAGGGTGCCAAAGACTGAGAGTGGCCTCCCCAGATCTGACAGGCACGATGGGAAGGTCTATATTTGAGCCCCTTTCTTCGCACAGTGCCTCAGCCCCAGGGGCCTGGTCTCCCCCCAGGGGAATTCCTGAGTCAGATTCAAACCTAACAGTGGCTTCAGGGAGGGGTATAACCGGTCAGGACACCTCAGGGCCCCAGGCCACATTCACTCCCACTGCAGCAGGACTTCGCCCTCCTGAGAACCAGGCCCTGAACCCGAACCTCCTCCAGTCCATGATAGCCCAGGCTGTGGCTCAATTTATGGCCTCCAACACCCCACAGCCACCCCCACAGGCCACACATCATTCACAATCTCCGGATTGGATGGATGATCCCGCATCGGATTTGGAATCTACAGGAGCTGAACAAGCTGGCCTAATTTTGTCTGAGGACGAGGGCATCGCCCCATCCGAACCCACCCCTCCTGTCGGTCTCTTTGACCATTCCTTCTTCAATTCCCTGCTTCTCAAGGCCTGCACCACTGCAAACCTCGCCCAAGAACAGGAGAACCCACCAACATCCCAGGGTCCCCATGCCATATACATTGAGCCCTCTGTCTCACAGAATCATATTCCCTGCCCTCCCCTTTTTCTAAATATAGTCCAGAAACAATGGGAAAAACTAGGATCCCCCTTAAGCCCTGGTGCGGTAGAGAGAACATTGTTCAATGTTGCTCCTTCCCTGACCTCCCTTTTGGAGATTCCTGAGATTGATGAGCCCTTGAACTCATTGTTTCCCAAGTCCAACATCCCTGGGGACATAAATGAGGCACTAAGGGCAGAGGACAAGAAGATTGAGTCCGCCCTATGCAGGTCCCACCAGGCATCAGCCTGGGCAACGAGGGCGGCAACCTCCATGGCCTTCTTTGCCAGGGCTTCGGTCCTGTGGCTACGGGAGCTCCAGGACATGATCCCTCCGGACCAGCTCAGAGCCCACCAGAATCTGGGTAAGTTGGTGGCCACGTCCCAGTATCTAGCTGATGCCTCCTTACATATGATCAGATACACTGCCCGGACCATCGCGGCAGACATTTCAGCATGAAGGCTCCTTTGGCTCAGAAACTGGTGAGCAGACACCAAGGCCAAGTGGCGTCTGGCCTCTAAACCTTATACAGGTGGACAACTCTTTGGTAAGGCGCTAGAGCAATACCTAACCGAAGGTAAGGATAAACGCAAGACCTTGGTTAATACATCAAGGAGGGGAGATAGATGCTGGGGGAACTTGTCGCAGAGTAACTACAGAAGGCAGCCGTTTCGGCCAGCGCCAGCCTGGGACTGGGCCCAGGCTCCTCGCCCCTCCTTTCAGAGACAGGAACGACAACAAGATCGTTCAGCATACAGAGGCAGATCACAGTTCCAGACCAAGCGGTCCTTTCGAGGCGCAGGGAGCCGCTCCTTTAAGTGAGGCAAGTGAACCTGCAGCCTCACCTCCCATAGTAGGCCGGCTGACCCTCTATTCCAGCATTTGGACGGCCACTACTACGGACGCATGGGTGTTAGACACCGTCTCCCAAGGTCTGAGACTAGAATTTTGTTCCCATCCACCTGACAGATTCCGCTCTTGTCCTATTTCAACGAACAGGACCAGAGCTGAACTTATGTCAGAGGCAATAGCACATTTATTGCAAATACAAGCAATTGAACCAGTACCACAAGACCAAGAAGGACGAGGGTTTTACTCAAACCTTTTCGTCATTTCCAAGACTTCAGGGGGCTGGAGGGCGATCTTGGACTTAAAAGGTCTAAACCTCTACTTGAGATATAAAAAATTTAAGATGCAATCACTTCAATCAATCCTGGCTGGCGTCAGGCAAGGTGGCTTTCTTACCTCCATAGACCTGACTGAGGCATATTTGCACATCCCAATTTTTCCTGGACACCGCAAATTCCTCAGATTCAGTTATGCCCGACACCACTACCAGTACAGAGCCCTTCCATTTGGCCTCTCATCTGCACCGAGAGTATTTACAAAGGTACTGGCAGTGATTGCAGCCCACCTTAGACAAATTCCCATCAGAGTTCAATGCTATCTAGATGACATTCTAATTCAGTCATCATCATGGCAAGGTGCCCAAGCAGACCTCGCCCTAGCCATCAAGGTTTTGCAGGAGCACGGTTTTTCTGTGAATTTCCAGAAAAGTCATACTGTACCAACAACTCGGCTCCTCCATTTGGGCGCAGTTATAGACACAGGCAACTGCACGGTCTACCTATCTCAGGACCGACGGAACTCTATCCAGACTCTTGTACGTCGGATCCGAAGGGACAGAGTAGTCACATTGGCATCCCTTTCACAACTACTAGGGAAGATGGTGTCCTGCGTGCAAATTGTGCCATGGGCACGTCTCCATGCCAGAGAATTACAGTGGCTTCTCCTTCCATTTC